TTAAGATACGAGGGCAGAAATCACCCTAGCCATGAAAAAACAATTGAAATGCACAAGCATACATAGTATGTCAAATAGTGGCACGTATTCTAACCTTACTTGCAAATTTTAAGCTAATTGTTGGTAACTCTTAACCACTAACGTGCAATTTTTGTAACGCTATCACTAACATGACCTCCCTCAGACGCTGCACAACATATCATTACGAGTATTATAATTTTTTATTAATATGTTTTTCTAATAAAATGCTCAGATAGTAATTAAGTACCTTTTTCTTGACACTTACATTAAAAAAAATATAATTACTTTTTTTTACAGAAATTTTAGAAAATTAATTTTTGTCTGCTATAAAAATAGTTTCTCGAGTAAACCAAATAAAATTTTGGTAAACATATTGCGAAGCTTTGAAAGTAACATATTTTCTAATAAACAAAACACAAATAATATACTAAGTGACATATAAATCCGAACACCCAGTTTAAATGGTTTTATTTTAATAAAACTTGGTGAATGTATTTATCTTACTGTAAATAACAAGTGAAAAAATTTTCAGCCTTATCACTTGGACATTCCGGTTTTTATACTGTTTTTTTTTAATTCACTAACGCTCTAAAAATGAATATTTCAGCCGCAGTAAAGAATCAACGATGTCTAGAGTACGGAGACCTGTACGATTTCGTCAACTTAGTGAGTTTGATAGGGGCCGTATAGTGGGACTTCGGGAAGCTGGACTTTCTTTTCGGGCAATTGCAGTTAGAGTGCAAAGAAGTGTAGACACTGTGGTTAGGTGTTGTCAGGTATGGCTTCGAGAAGGCCGTACGCAAAGAGCAAGGGGCACTGGACGCCGCCGTAGAACAACAGACCGTGAAAATCGCCGCCTAAGAATATTGGCCTTAAGGGACCGTTTCTCCACTACCAGGTCCATTGCAAATGAATGGTTTGCAGAACACGGAAGACCTATTGGCATGCGAAGTGTTTACCGACGAATGAGAAGTTTTGGCTTGTTTTTATGACACGGGGTCCTCCCTTTAACTCGAGAACACCGACGTAATCGCCTTGAGTGGTGCCGACAACGGTCACTCTGGGATCAGGAATGGAACAGTATTTTGTCTTTAGTGACGAGTCTCGATTTTGTTCCAGGTCACCTTTAAACTTCATCAGAGGTAAAATGAACGCGCAGCGTTATATCCACGAAGTTCTAGAACCCCATCTTTTACCCTATCTTGACACCCTGGCAGATCCAACTTTCCAACAAGATAATGCCCGACCACATGTTGCAAGAGTCACAATAGACTTCTTTCAACATAATGTTGCCACGTTGTTACCATGGCCACCAAGATCTCCCGACTTATCCCCAATTGAGCATGTGTGGGATATGATGGGTAGGAGATTGCTCAATTTGCAACGTCCTCCTCAGACTCTAGAAGCACTTCGAGAGGAGTTGGTGGTTGCCTGGAATGAGATACCACAGGAGGACATTGACCACCTGATCAGAAGCATGCCTAGGCGCGTTGGAGAATGCGTAGCACATCAGGGTGCATCCACACATTATTAAAGGTCAAAGGGCTTTAAAGCAGTGCAATCATTTTGAAATTTTTATCATTTACTTATTATGCTTCATTAATTACTTATACAAAATTTTATTAAAATAAAACCACTTAAACTGGGTGTTCGGATTTATATGTCACTTAGTATACTAATGATAAAGAAATGGAATCACGAACATTGAAAAACCACGAACGGTTCAAAATTAGATTTGTTGAACACATTCAGTACACAATTTTTTGTTGCATTCTAGGCATATCAGTTTTTGATAGCTGTAACAACAGCTGTAACAAACGTAGGCAGTTTGCCTTTTTTTCTTTGAAGGGCAAGTATGGCAAGTCTTTCTTTTGGTCAAATGTTCCATTTTGTTTTCTGGCAAGATTTAGGGTTCACTCAAACCTAAGATATTAAAAATACTTGGTCTGACTCTTCGAGTTACACGTTTTTTCCCCTTTTCACGAGATGTGGGGTAACTAATGCAAATGCAAGTTTTTCAATGAAATCTGCTCTTCCCATTATGTCGTATTCTTTGTAGGATTGATGCATAATTTAGGCGTTCACTGTACTATAAATCGTATTTATTTAGGGGGCGAAGTTTAGCATAATGCTACTCTGCCACTTAACCCAAAAAAAAGAAAAACTGAAAAAATAATACAAGAAACATAAATATATTTGATAAGTTTGAAGTTTAAAAATGTAGGTGTATAAAAATATGATGTATATGACATATATAAGTGAAGGCTATTCAATATTTCATGTTTTAAAAGTATAAAATTGTAACAGTTATACAAAACAAAGGAATGCTATATTGAAAATATTTATGTGTGAGGTGACAGATAAATTTAACTAATTTATATACTTCTATTCAAAATAAATTTCTTCATATGTCTTTTAAATTCATTATATGATAGCAATTTTGTGGATCGAGGTAGAGCATTGTAAAAAATAATTGCGTTGTAGGTGAAGCATTTACGAAAGAATGATGTCCTGTGAAGGGGCATTGTGAGTGTTTCAGTGAATCGAATGTCCCTAGAATGGATATTGCTTCTAGTTATCAGCTTATTTTTTAAAAACGGCGGAATGGATGATAGCAAAAGCCTGTGGGTGTATGTAACTAAGTGTAGCTCACACAGTTCATTTACTCTCACCCACTTCATGTCAAGAATCCTGAAAAATATATGTCACCTACGTGTACTCCACCTTTAGTACAATTATAATACGATAGGATTTCTGATTTTCCAGTTACTGGATCTTGACATTTTGAGTGGTGCATGGAAGAGAGAAAGATAGTAGCTTTGTTCTTTTTTGGAACATGTGAGGCTAGTGTAAGTTCATTTGTAAACGTAAAAGTACAGATCCGACTTCCCTATTTCGATTAGGTTGAAATTGGACAGGTATTTCACGTTTATTTTTCTTGAGTCGGTTTTCCATATTTTTTCTCTTCCTGTGGAGGTCCTTGACCATCCGTATCTTTGCCTTTATAAATATACCTACCAATTGAAGAAATAGTTATTATGTGCGTCGGTAAGGCACATAACTTTTATCCCATATTTTGTTGGTTTGTTAGGAAGATACATTTTAAATTTTGCATCGTCCACGAAATCCAATAAGCATCTCGTTAATCCACTCTGAAGATCCAATAGAATAACAAGCCTGACAATTCTGAACAAATAATTGAAATATTTCAGAAATCGGAGCTGCGGGATCTGCCGGTTTCCGTACTAATCTGTCATCTGGGTTGTCAAACCTAAGGGCCAGTAGCAAAAATGCGAATTGTTCTTTGGTCATTATGCACCGAATCATTTCTCTTTCAATACCATTTGTTTTTAAAAGGTTATCTATGTTCACACTGTTCGATTTGAATATTTCTGTAAAAGCTAGAAGTCCTAAAACGCGATCAGTTCGATCTTATCAATATTTTTGAGGGTGGATGAATTTTGATTTTTATATTTTGATCGAACCTGATCCATTTTATGGCTTGTCCATTGAAGGTTGTTACGCGTAATCAGCAGTTTCCAGACTCAAAGAGGATCTGCAGAAGTGACTGTTCTGGCCACAAGACGTAAAGTGGGTTCTTTAGTGCATTTGTATCTATTTTTTCTATAAAAGCATTTACTAACATTTTGAGGGACGTTTACTCCTGTTACTTCACCTTCTTTTTCTTCATTAGTACTGGTTTGGTTAAACTTTACCCTCTTCAGATTCGGTCTCATACTCACTCTGTATGACAAAATCTTCATCACATTCGTCTTCCAAATTCCTATAATCGCTATCACATCCTTCATACCATTTTAGTAGCTGCTCCTCAAAATTAGAGTCACCAAAAGACACTTATTTGGAAAAACTTGGTTGAGGATACATTGGATATAACATAAATAATCACACAAATACTAACTTGACGTTATCCAGACGTATTGCGACCTTTTGCAACCAGTAAAAAATAAATACAACTTGCTCCGACTATTTCCATTTGTGTACTGATTAAGCATTGGTATACTAAAAAGGAGATGTATGGTTGACCTTGAAACACAGTCAAATCCTAGTTATGGGCAGACAGAGAAGTCCGTACGTCTGCCAGACATCACATTAGTACCTAAGGGTTAAGCTTCCAGCTTTTAAAGTGAACTGTGAGGAAAAATGAGTAACTTAAACTTAATTTGTGACAAAAGAGGGCCATCAGCGGAAACAATTCTTGAGCGAATAGTTATCATCTATGCGGTTGATGGACCATCATATTACTCAATAACATTTTGGTTGAAATGGTTTCGATGGGGAGTGAATACATAGAAGACGATCCTAGAAGCCGAAGACCCAAAACAACAAGAAATGATGAAATAACACAAAAAGCTGAAACCATGGTTCTCGAAGGGAATGATTATGTTGAAAAATAAAATTATCAATTGTTTCATGGTTAGGTAGATTTCTGCTCTAGCGTCCCTCGTATCTACTTACCTGCTGTTAGACTGATAAGCTCAAATTAATGAATTCAACAGGTAGCCGACTTACGTCGCCATTACTTAATAATATGTAGCAAAAAATAACTTCTTTAATTCAGAATACGAATTCCGAAAGAATTTGGAAAGGGGTGGGAATGCGAATGCGAATTCTTTAGGGCTTCAACTTTATAGGAAAACGTGAGATCCGCTTTAGCCTACTTGAGGACATTTTGTATGATGATGATTAATCCGTAGTTCTTCTGTAAAAATATTCTGGAACATTAAGAAATTGTTGGAATCTAAATTTAGAAGTGCGAGTTTTGTGCTATGGCAAAAATAATAAAAAATTACTTCATTAGATGCAGATCTGATCTAATTTAAAGTATGGGTAGTCCTATAAACATGTGACAGTACGAGTAAATATTCAATGACAAAGTATCAACTGAACCTTGGTGGTCGTTTGAAAATTTGCTAATATTGTTTTGATTTCCCAAATAACTTACTTCTCTTTTGTTCCAGTTGCTCCAAGATGATGCTCCTACTTCTTCTCACTTTCCTTCATACGTCCGAAATACATGCCATGGACAACCTGAATGTAGCATTCAGATGGAAAGTCGTAGATTTTGAGTTCCCGAATGACACTGCGCGAGAGAATGCCATCACAAAGGGCATCTTCATACCCGAAAACAACTTGCCACTGGGAGTGGAAGTCTATGGAAATCGCATGTTCATCTCAGTGCCCAGGTGGAAATCTGGAGTTGCAGCTTCCTTGAACTACATCATGCTAACGGGTGAGTAATTTTGATTAGATATTTATAAATGTACTCGGTCTGAACACAAGACACACAGCTTTTATAAATTAAAGTATTGCGGATGAAGTAAAAGGAAAATCGTGGGCACGTTCGTAATAAAGGAACAGAAGCTCGAGCGACGTACGTTTCTGCTTATTGGCTTCGTCAGGCCCAAATGGCTGTGATGTATCGAAAACACTGAAGTGAAAACTTTTGCGCAGTACAGGATACGGGTGTTATCTGGAAGAAAATAAGGACGGAAAAGGAAATACAACTAGCAGCCGCCAACAAAAGCCAGCAGGCACATTTGCGTCTTCGGCTTACCAGGCAACAAGCAACGTCGCCACGGATGCCGGCTATAGATACATGCCGTGGTACTTTGAGCCCATGAGTAAATACAAAAAAATTTAAGTACTCCTGCGGAAACTTACATGTAAAAACAAAGGAAAATCAAGGTCTAGCCTTCTGATTTCTAATTTGCACTTGCCTAGTCAGGCACGACTACCCTCTTCCTTTTGGAAAACCAGCACTGTTTTCAACGTCTTATATGAATCAGACAGTGATAAATACTACGACACCATAGAAATTCACCTATCTATTGTTTACCCTCCTGGGAAATGCAACAGAAACCGCATTGTAAATAAAAAGTAGCACAAAAAATTGTATACAAAGAACGAGTCATTGAAAAGAAGACTTTTCCCACATTTATGTGCGAATTTGATCTCGCTCGCAATCTGTGTCAAAGGCACGGCAGTGAGTCGGCTACACACGCAGCGTTCATTGAAATATGAACAAGGATTTCTACTCTTTGACTAGCACAGCTTCCATTATACTCTGTAACGAGACCAGACGAATGCGATTATTCAGTTTCTTGTTACTCTTCTTGTTTTGAACGTAGACTGGGTGGTGTCCAGTTCTTGAGGTCAGGTGAATAACGTTTAAAGAATGGTTTGAAATTAAACATATAAAAGTATGACTTACGAGAACCCTTTACGGGCGAACAAGCTAAACTCAAATAAAATATGATTAAAATATGGAAGAACTGTGGACAATATGAGACAAAGCTTGTTAAATAAGAAGAAAGAAAGAATAAAATGTGAATCCCGTAAATGGAATTTTTATTTAATGGAAAACTTCACACAGCGAAAGACCATCAACAGTTCTGCATCATGTCGTTCATAGAAAAAAATGGCGTCAAGCAACGCCGCACATCATTAAGACCTGTATCGTCAGTCATCCCTACAATTGTAGGGCGCGTTTATGGCCTCCCTAATTGTCATACTCCTTTCTCTTCTTCAAACATTTCTAGATTACACTTGTCCCGTGTCAGCGTCAGCGCTCTCCTATTGTGAAGATATGTTTTCTTTTTAAATTGTAGGAAATTTCAGGCTGATAAAACATGATATAACTCAAAAGCAAGCACAATTTGATGCAAATAGATGTTTGTGCCATAACCTCAAAATAGAGTTCTGACACGGAGAAGCAGAAAACTATGACAATCAAGAAGGCCATAAAGGCGCCCTACAATTGTAGGGACGATTGACGATACGGGCCTAAGTTATAATATACAATTAGTTCATAGACATTCTTTCTCTGCCCTACCGTGTATATGTTTTTTGCGCTGCAGTACGGATAAATTGGTCAGCCAGACCCGCTCGCCAGGCGGTATATAGCGGGTCCGTACGGGTATTATGTAAAAAGTCTATAAAACGTCAAAATCAACCAATAAAATCTCATCTTGCAGACTAGGTACTTTTTAGGGTGCAAATAGTTCATTCCACGTTAGCTCGCTATGACCACTGTGAGCGTCCATACCTATGGAGGAATGACTCAACTACACGCATTGTTGGTTGCATATGTTTTGTGAAGCCCAGTAGTCTGTAGTTTTCATCTCCGGTAAGATATGAAAGAATAGCAAGATCGCATCTGAATGATTATGTGTATTGGTCTGCATGTGTTTGAAATCAGTAATATTTGCTGTGTGAAAACATTATTACTGAATATTCTGCGAATGAAGTATACCTTTTAGCTGTGGCTGATGGGTTATTAATATGTGTCCTTGCTGAAGACAGGTTATGTTCAAAGTTATAAATTACGGTTTTTTCCGTTTTTTATGTTTTCAAAAACTACAAGAAATTGCCACCGCGCCCGCGTTGTGTGCAATTAAGCCACATCACATAAAAATTAGTAATGACGCATCACACATCAAATATTTTCGCAAAATAAATTTCTATAAAATTTAAATGACGGGAAATAAAAAATACTGTAATAACCTTTTCAATTGCATGAATATTCCTATCTGTAGCATATTTTCTCACCTGTTCCTTCGTCAATCAGGGATTTTCGTTTTTTCTCTCTCTTATTTTTTAAATTTCCAGAATGAATAAGAAAAAGTAGATGTGCAACTAATTTCTAGCTTTGAATCTCAAGAAAGTGTATTTGAGACAAGAAGTGTCATCAACACATATTGTTAGCACACAGCAGTCTATGCAGTGTAGTTTCCTTCCAGCTATAGTATACATCTCACAGCTTAGACATCGAGGAATTCCACTTCTGAAGCAGATTTTACATTACATCGTAGTCAAACATTGATAACTGAAGCATCACGTCTAGGCAACACGTATTTGTACAACTACAAAATGCGTTCACAAGTGTCCATCAGCTAGTGCTAAATTAACATCTTGTAGAAAAGCCTACATAATGTTACATAAAACTAATACAATGTCAAACAATACTGTTCAAGATATGTAATACTTGTGCCGATCTCTACTGCCTCGGGATTTCCACCAAAGATTAACGTTTTGCAGGTGAATGAATCATACGATGCAACGATACTTAATGATTTTAATTTTTTTATTCACGGATGAGACAAATTTTTCACGAGATGCTATTATGAACTTTCACAATGACCATTTCTCGGCCGACGAAAATCCCCACGTTGGCCTAATTGGCCCATTTTTTACCAGCACGATTAGCAGGTGAATCCTTGACGGGCTTTTTGCGGGACCATATGCCCATTTGTTAGAAGAAGCACCAGTAGAAGAAAAATCAACATGTGCTTTATGAACGACGGGGCACCAATGTTTTTGCTTATCAGCATCTCGACATCACCTACCATAATCGCTGGATTGAATATGCAGGAGCTCAAGTTTGAGAAGCTCACAATCCTTATATAAATCCTCCAGATTTCTATTCATGGGGTCATCTGAAGGCTCTTGTTTATAAAACTTCTGTAGTAGATGTGAATGTATTGAGGAAACGGTCAGCTGACAACTGCAATGTCATAAGAATTACTCGAGGTATTTTTGAAAGGTTAGATACTCCATAATAAGTCGATTAAAGTCGTGTATTTTATCAGTAGGTGGGTATTTTGCTCATTTACTTTAAGGCCGAAATTGGTTATGTTTTATTGACCATAGGTGGTTTTTAGAATTCGTGAAAGTTTTATTTTTTTTATTAAAAAAAACGTAGCTAGATATTAAGAAAACACAAGAGACCTAAAAGTTGTATTTTTGCTTGCTTAATCTAAAGCAATATAAAAACTACAAAAAAGTCAAGGGCGAAGTCTTTTATCTCAATCATATGACTGTGGTGCACAGTGAGACGCACTGGACCTGACAATTTGAATGTACTTTGAGCTAAACAAGCACCTTACAACTTCAAATAATTGCACCAAATTTCAACCAACTCGGTTTGAGTACATTTACGATAACTTAACGCCCTGTATCGCAGAAACGAAGCAACTGCGGACATATGTTCATAGGAACTTTTTTTATTAAAACGACCTGACGAAACACCTTTTTGAACTGTAGTACATCCTGTATCTGCACTTCAAGCTAATTTGCCCACTACTGTAACGGATATCCAAAATATACAAACACGATAGTTCGTTAGGGCGAGTTTTGTTCCTAAAAACGTTGCACGGGTTTCGCTTAGTAATTTTAAATTTGTGTTTTGTTATTTGTCGGGACAGTATGTATTTTGCCGGGAGTCTGGATATCATATGAAATATTGGGACGATCCAGACGAATCCCGACCATCTGGTAACCTTAGTTTTGCTATACCGTATTTCCTACTGCTGAGATACTATATGCCATTTATATTCATTACGAATGAAATCAGTGTAACTGTGGTGACGCGCCTTTGATTGAAGTTATTGAACAATTACTGAAAAAATCACACACATTCAAAAGTTTCAGGCAGACCCTGAGAAACCCTGTAAACTGTATCCTCGCATTTAATTTTTACACTCTTTGACTCGACAAATCATAAGCTTACATACAAGGCTAACAAGATCAAGAGACGATGGAGAATTACCACTACACCTCTTAGTTAACGAGTTAAAACTCGGCATGTATTCTGTTCTGTAAATATAGATCAAGGTATCTCTGACGAGAAATGCAAGTAGGAAGTGGGTATACAATATACATGTGCATAATTTGCGTTATTTCTGTGGGCAAACTGGTTTCTGGCAAGCTGTTAATACTATTTTGTTATTGTTCATACGGGTCTTTGTGTTTTTCTTCATACTGCGTAAGGTCAAATTAAAATACCGAGTGATCAAGCTTGTATGCCAAACACTATTTGTCTACTCAATTAGTTTAATTTGATACTTGTATGCTTAAACAAAAAGGTACGATTAAGAAAATAGTAACGAGAATTGACTTACCAAGGATTCCAATAACGCTTAACTAGTATCTAATAACTCCACACCATGTTAGTCTAGGGTCTAGGTATTATTTTCAACGAATCGAGTCGAAGTTATTTAAGATATTGTCACGCCCTCGTATAGCTGGGACGTTGAGTGGCGAGGAGTCGACTTGCAGAGTCGACGCTTAGGCGACCAGTTGCGCGACTGTATTGAGCGCTTGCGGCGCTGTCTAAGAAGGGTTAGGCCGAGATTCAAGAATAATCGAGATCCGTCGGGAGGCACCTGATGCAATCGAGTCTGTTCCCATGGAAGTTAACGACTCTGCCTGGAAAATGCTAGAACATTCCTCGACGTGTCGAGAGGTGGATAAATATCCGACCAGATGGCGGAAGCAGTTAGTCACAGACGAGACTGTCGAGTCAGTGGACAGTGAGCGTGGAATTAATATGGAATAATAGTCCAGTCGACATAGTTATACATTTGTTGTAAGCCTTTCTAAGACACACTACTGTCCTGATTGCACAACCGGTTTTGATAGACGACCGGGTTACGACATGTCGGAGTTATCACCGCTCAGGTTTTCAGATACATTGGACAACCGATAGTTGCTGTGTCGTTATATCTGGAAGCACACCCTCCCCTCTTTATGACTCTATTTCTGATGAAGGCATTCGAATAACTCTCATAATTTATTAATAATAATGGAAACAGTTCGAAACACTGTTATGGCTACGTTTGTTTTAGTGGAAAATAGGGTTAGTGGTATGTATATAACCTAAGCAAAATGAATATATTAATCATATTTTACATTGCTTATTATTGGAAATTACACGTAACTATTGACTAATATGCAACATGTTTTAATTTTGAATGTTTTAATATTTTTAAGGTACATCAAGGAAACCCAGATAAAGCGAACACTTGGAAGGAGTGTAGTGACTTACGGGGTGTTTACCCAGAATACGCATCTACCTTTAATGTAGCGTTTTCAGTAAAAAACATGCTAGTTATTAAATGGGCTTAAGTGGTTCAATATATTTTTTCTTTTCAGATCCGAAAGATTCCCCAAAGCTGCGCCCGTACCCAAATTGGGAGTACCACGATCTCACTCACACGGATGAATCCGGCATGGTACCACCCGACAAGATCGTGTCCCCATTCAGGGTCCGTGCTGACTCCTGCGGAAGGTTGTGGGTAGTGGATACAGGGGTAGCAGATATTCTGGAAGGGTCCAAGGTGCTTTCCAAGCCTAAATTGTTCATCTTTGATCTCAATACGGATACGCTCATCAGGAGCTATCAAATACCAGAAGACCAGGTAAATATTAACGTTTAACTACGTATTTTTGACTTTCTTTGAATTAGTATGTATTTATAGAAAAACTTGGATTTGTATGTGTATTAAGTATTTCAGCGACACAAGCTTTTGCTATTTTGAATGAGATGCACCGTTAATGTACTGAGATAATCCACGTCACATTTATGAAAAACTTGATATAATGGGTTTTCCGTACTTTTCATATCTGAACATAGAAAAACGCCAAATCTTTAATATCATATATCTCAGACACTATTGAGCTGATTGCGTTTAATTTTTGCGCTATAACCTAGCCTAGGAGTAACATAAAACCAGACGGATGGTTAAAAAGTGCAGGACGATTTTTTTTTCACTTTCTTGCTTCTTATCAAAATCAACACCTTTTAAGTTGAATATTGAAATGTTAGACTATGTACAGAAAAATCAATGAATGGTGCCAATGAATTAGCAAAGTAGATTTATTGCGTTTCTTTAAATTTTCTAGTTAATTTTCAAGTACAACGCCCTGAAAGCGATACTCTGAATGTATTGATATTTCGCTGAAAAAAGGGCAATACATGATATAGGTAAATAAATAAGAAAGTTAATGTAATGCACCCTATTTATTTTTTCCGGTATTTTTTTAATTATCAGGTTCTGTCAACTGATATTGTACAACATGAAATATGCTTGAAAGGGAAACGGCATCTTCCAGACCAACTTGATATTAATTTAAAATTCCACAAAAGCTTTGTGTGATGCAGCATGTGTGCGTAATGTAATTAAATCCAACAGGGTTAAGACGAAAGCACGTAAATGAAACTAGACTGAAAATGCTCTGTGCCCCTTTTTATAAAATTTCATTATTGATCTGGAGAGTCAAACTCACTGCATCTGCATACTAAATGCCGCAGTTGATAGAATTTAACTATAAAGAAACACTAAAAAAAAACACAGAATAAGAATAATTTTCCCTTTTATTTATATCATGTATTTCTATTTTTTCTAAGAATTTTCCACTTAATGAAATACAAGGGAATAAAAAAAACATAATTCGGCCGTGGAATTTTGAGATCCCGACAGAGCATTATTTTTTAAAATACTGATGAAGCCAAGTTGACAACTCTTAAAATTTTGAGTTTTGTGTCATACACACTGCTAAAAATGAGATATTTGAATGAATAAAAAAACTCAAAAACTAAAACTACATATATTTTCTTGATCAAGTAGCATCATTCATTGGCTTTTTTGCACATAGTCAAACATCTCAATATTCAGATTAAAATGTATTGATTTTGGTAAAAAACAAAAAAGTGACAGAAATCGAGTCCGGCGCTTTGTTTTTTAACCGTCTAGTTTTATGTCACTTCTAGGCAACTTATTGTGCATAATTTCAACAAAATCGGTTCAATAGTGCCTGAGATAGGTGATATTAAACATTTGGCGTGTTTAGATAAAAACTGAATTTACAACTTCTTTACTTTCAGATGTAAGAAGGTCTCGGTTCATAATACTTACTATTTCACTGTGTACATTTAAATATGGAACACCCCGTAACATTTCTAAATTTGAAATACACAAATTGATCAGCCCGATAGCATTGATGTTTTCCCATGCTATTTCATTTTATAAAGGAAGAGACTGTAAAGAAAGCATTTCTATGAGTATTGAGCTAATACATTTTTTCCGTATTCGAGTGCTTCAAAGTACGGAAATTGAATACTGCTCATGTATAGTTCAATTTCCAAGAAGTGTTGTGTGTGGTTGGGCACTCGCCTATTGGACAGAAACGTGACTGTGCCGTCCCTTATCTTTTGATTACAAAGTGATTAAGGTTAGATGCTCCATAAGCAAAAATTCGATGGTAAATGTACTGGAGTTTTTAAATGGCAATTTATGGACCACCCACGTAAGACCAATCCTACGCCCTACGAACGATTTGCCGAGGTGTTGTTTGGCCTGACTTGTTTATTTTCTATCACACTACAACTTAAAAATAAACGAAACTTAGATAATATTAGAGTATTTTGGATTATGTTTAAGTGAATAATAAATAAGATCCTGGAGTTTGGTCCATTCCCACCGACGAACTCATTAATACTCAATTCACTCTTTTATAACGTGCGTCAGAAAAGTGACGAAACTTTATGTACAAGGTCTGTAAGTTAAGTGATGAGACTGTTTTTTTAATTTTTTTTATTCAAATATAATTACAATGTTACTGGCCAAAATCTCGGTTTTTGACATTGCTGCGTGACAAGGAGCATTATCGTAATGCAACACCCAGTTGTTCTTGATCTGATGAACAGTAGCGTGTTATAAATATAGACAACACTCTAACTATACAAGCAATCTTAGCATTGTTAGTGATAGGTGAAGTATGGGAATTGTCTAATTTCGAACTTTACTAGCTCCCAGAAGTTTGTAGACTATGCTCTAAGGTTACCAGAAAGTAGAAAAACCCCGAAAAAATGAGGGGCCAAGAAAGACGCGGATTAGAAGGGGGACGTGTAAAAATTACCTTGCTAGACTAGAATCGTGCGCCTCCCCTAGATGTATCCCACCCCTGCTCTTCAATTGTCACAAGGGCATTTGCCCTCAAGTGCATGCAGCTCCCGATCTTCAGTTTTTTAATCTATTTTTTTTGTTATTACACTTTATCGCGAGTTGGCGTGTGTTCAAATCGAATATCTTTAGGCCATGGTGTTTTTCAGCAGCTCTTCAATTGCCCCGTCGTTATTTTATTTGTCTTGTTCAATAAGAACCTGACTTTTTTTCTCTCGCTAATAGTGGTGATACCTCAACCTAACTAAATAATTGGTACCACTTGTGAAAACCTAGAAAACACCTTTACATCAGACTTGATCAGATGACCCATCAAAACAAAATCCTTGAATACTAGAAATTTTATTCGTTGTAGCCTAAAAACTACAGGGTGTCCTGAACGTTACGTTGGGATATTTCTTCTTATAAACGTCAACGTTTAAAATGAGTGATGAAACATCAACAAGAAAGTAAAAAAAAATAAATGAAAAAGTATTCACCGTTCATAGAAAAGAAATTTCAAGTACAGCTCTGCTACTTGTAAGTAATAAGTATTATTCCAGATTATCTGCGATAGATTCAAAAACTCGTGTGCTCGATGCTTTTCGAATGGTTGCAGCAGATTGCTAAGTTCGCACAAACAAAAAAAGAAATCACAAAGGACCTTGGGAAACGATCTGCATACACTCGCGAAGCCTCGGTAGCATTTCGAAGACACTCAGCGTACATTAAAATGATATGGATATCGACACATTGATATTTCTGTACGAGTGTGTCATTTTTTGTTTTTTTCACAGATGAAGAAAGACGTCAGCTTCTTCGCCAACATAGCTGTCGAAGAAAACGGATGCGATGATACATATGCTTACTTGGCTGACCTGGGACACCCTGGCTTGGTGGTGTATTCTTATAAGAAGAACAAGTCTTGGTTGGTTAAGCATCACTATTTCCACATCAGCCCTACAGCTGGAGAGATGACTGTGGCCGGGGTAAGTTGATGTTAAAAAACTATGTTTCCATAAAAATCGTCATCAACTCTTAGTTTAGGGTGTTTCAGTTTATTGTTGCATAACTTTAAGATTCGATAGAACTTTTAAAATTAATGCATAATGCATATAAACATGGGTCGAAAAATGCGTGGCTTCCGAAATACAGGGTGTTTAAATTTACTTTCTAAAATAGTTTTTTTTTAATATATCGAACAATATTTGATGTATAACAGTAAAAATTGGTATACGATAAAACGAACCATGGGTATAGTTTTACTGTAGCCGCTAGAGGGCGCTCTCTACTGTACCTGTAGTGTATTAAAATGACCGAACATTTTTTCTTAGTGCAATTTTTTGCTTTTTGAATAAAACAACTGATTCTTCGCACTTTTCAACATAAAAAAGCTCTCTTGTGAATTTTCGTTATAGTTAGTAGTTTTTGAGAGATTTCGATTTTTAAGGTTCGATGCATTTTTAATTATCTATGATAAAATAACGTTATAAAGTCAGTATCTCGACAATTTTTAGAAGTAGGCTGTGCATGCAGATATTTTTGAAATTGAAAGCAAAATAAGGTTAAACGTCAATTAGTTGACAGTTAGTTTTGTTGTCTGTTGAAACCTGAAACGTTTTTTTGCAATTGTGAATGCACGAAATTTAGTTTCCTTTACCTGTTTTTTTTTTGTAAGTTTTATAAAAATGCCATTTTTATTCTCCAATCAAGAGTTAGCGGATCTTCATTTTGTGTATGGATTTGTAAATGGAAACGCAGCAGAAGCAGCCAGAGAATACGCACGAAGATTTCCAAACAGACGACATCCAACTCGCTCAGTATTTGTAAGAGTGCATCGCCAAATAATTAGAAATGGTTTTGGAAATCTCCAAAGGGATCAAAACATAAATGTTCGTCAGCGCAGATTTATCCGTATGATTCTGCGTGAGTTTGATAGAGATCCGACTACAAGTGTTAGGAGAGTTTCTGGTGCCTTGGGAATTTCAGCAAGCCATGTTCACCGTGTTTTTAGAAATGACCATAGACGTCCTTACCATTTGCAACCTGTTCAAGGACTACAGCCAGGGGACGGAGAACGAAGAATCACATTTTGTCAGTGGATTCTTGATAGAACTGATAATAATAGGGAGTTTTTAAGTAACGTTTTATGGACCGATGAGTCATGCTTCACTAGATGTGGAGTGGTAAATTTTCATAATCAACATATTTGGTCGCATGAAAATCCGCATGCAGTTCGGGAAAGAAATTTTCAGCATGAATTTAGTGTGAACGTGTGGATTGGTATCTACCGTAATCGACTATTTGGACCCTACCTTTTGCCTGGAAGGTTAAATGCTGCGACCTTCTTGGAATCTTTAAAGGCTGAACATGCAAATATGTGGGATGATATTATGTTAGATTTAAGAAGATTGGCCTGGTTCCAGCTTGATGGTTGTCCAGCTCATTATTCGAGAATAGTTAGAAACTGGCTGGACGAAAATTATCCAGAAAGATGGATCGGCCTGGCCTCCACGATCCCCTGACCTAAATCCATTAGATTTCTTTGTGTGGGGATTTCTAAAAGAAAAAGTGTACCAGACTCCCGTAACCACAAGAGATATGCTAATAGACAGAATCAGGAATGCATGTGATGAAATAACGCCTTATTTGAATAATGCTATACCACGTTCGATCATTCGTAGATGTGAATTGTGTATTGAACAATTGGGTTTACATTTCAGGCAACTACCTTAGATTTTGTATGTTTGTCCTAACTATCCAATAGCATTTTAGTTGTAAATAATTAATTTAATTTGTTAAAAATAATATTGGAAAATTAAACAAATTAATATTCTGTTTTTTTGTGTTTATTTGGAGTTAGGAATTATTTCTGTGTTTAAAAACACAATCTAAACGATCGTCTTCATTACTTGTAATGCCCAAATCGAAAATGTAAAAAAAATATTATTTTCCCATAAATAATTAAAAATGCATCGAACCTTAAAAATCGAAATATCTCAAAAACGGCTAACTATAACGAAAACACACAGTTGAGTTTTTTTATGCAAATAATTTCGAAGAATCAGTTTTTGTATTCAAAAAGCAAAAAATTGCACTAAGAAAAAATTTTCGGTCATTTCAATGTACTACAGGTACAGTAGAGAGCGCCCTCTAGCGGCTAAAACTATGCCCATGGTTCGTTTTGTCGTACCAAAAAACCCTTGTAACCAATTTTCACTGTTATACATCAAATATTGTTCGAAATATTTAAAAAAAAGTATTTTAGAAAGTAAATTTAAACACCCTGTATTTCGAGGGCCACACATTTTTCGACCCATGTTTATATAGACTTTATGCATTAATTTTAAAAGTTCTATCGAATCTTAAAGTTATGCAACCATAAACTGAAACACCCTGTATATATATATATGTATATATATATATAAACTACTTATAGGGTGTCCTGAAGGTTGGACTTTCGTTTTCAAAAACAACTACAAAGCTAACATATGGTGAAATTGTAGCAAAAAACTTAAAGAATGAAAAATTAGTCACGGTTCACCGAGAAGAAATTTCAAGTATAGCTCTGTCACTTGTAAGTATTGTTCAAAGTTGTCTGCGATAGATTCAAATACACGTGTATGCGCTCGACGTAGCCAAGCATCGGTGTAGGTTTTAAGAATGGACTCCCTTTCCTGACTGAATGCAGCTTATTGCTAAATTCGCACACGTAATTCGTCAACCGTGTTCACCTCAGTTTTATAAGCTAAAGATTTCATTTCGCCTCAAACAAAAAACAATCACGAAAGATCTTGAAAAACGATCTGCATGCACTCGCGAAGCCTCGGTAGAATTTCGAAGACAATTGAAATAATATGGACAACTCCGAATTTGCTGTATGAGTGTGCCATTTTTTTAATTTAAAACCGATGTGTAAAGGTTTTATTTACCAACGCGGCCAGCGGCTGGATTTAGTTCTATTGCGCATCGTACGTGATGACGTTTGATCAGATCGGCGAGCAGAGCCAGATTAGGTTTTGTATGGGATTGATTGATTTTTCTGGGTAATTTTAAGACTTCGTGTATATGTTACTAGAAAAATCGTCGCATTTTTACAAGATTTACGCGCCGTGTAAAGGAAAGTATCAACATTGAGGACACCCTGTATTGTCTAGTAATAAAATAATTACTTACGAATCAGATCATAACAACCTAAACAGTTCGAACTTATTAAATGCTGTTGCTTCTAATTAATTAGTAACCAATCAATGAATTTCCAGATTACATTCCAATGGGCAGATGGCATCTTTGGTCTGGCTCTATCCAAACCTGATGAGGCAGGATACAGTACTCTGTACTTCCACCCAATGCACAGTTTCCATGAGTTCACAGTTAGTACTAAATTGTTACGAGACGAAACCTTAGCTACAGATCCTAAAAACTTCCACGAGTTCAAGGTAATAATACATACAATAGCATTTAAGTTACGTTTATACTGGTGCCATTTAGGTTGGGTGAAATTTCTCATTTCTACGGGGCACCATATAAGTTAATTTATCCAATAATTTATTCATCATATTTGTGAGATTTAGCTGTTCATCCAGCGTTTGAATTTGAGAAACCATACTTCAACCAATTTTGCATTCTAACTGATGATGCAGCTTCAATCATTTTAATTGAGTTTATTTCTTAACAAGAGGTGTTGAACTGAATCAAGTATTTTTTTACAGTGATTTATAAACCTTTGACGATAAATCTGATAGGTCGTTACTGTACATAATTTCGCTAAAAAACAAATCTTCCAAGATGCCATATGCGATTTCTCATTAGCTTGGCTATACATTAGACCTTTTAAAACCCTGTGATCAGGAAGTACAATTTGGTGTACAGTCTGCGATAATTAAAAGTTCACCTCTGGTTAGCCTACCTGCTTTAAAATAAACTAAATGTAAAATGCTCTTTGAGGTATTTTAAGGGAAGGCTTGAGCTGGAATTTTGATGTTTAGCAACCTCAAAATGAATGATTTTTAACCAAATGGTTCAGTAATGAAAATGCTCATTTTTAGGGGTTTTCAGACAATTGCATCGCTTCTAATTAAAAAATGTTACTAAATACCTTTTTTGTTTAGAATGATCGGTTCAATTAAAAAAAAACGCTTATTTAAAATCAAATTTGATGACATTTTAGAGAATGCGCATAAAAACGAAAAAATCATATCACATCGACTATCAGGCGGCGAAAACTTCTTAATGTACTCATAATTCCCAGTTTGCTGTGGTTTTCATCTGTAATAAAAGTTTTTTTAGATTTTTCGACGGTTAACAGAAACTTCTGAAAATTGGCATTTTCAATGCTTGAAAACTCAAATGAAAATATTTTTGAGGTTGCCAAGTATTTAATTAAAGTTCAACCCCTCTGTTACAAGACCATGCTGACGAGTACCCAAAAAGTACGGAACAGCTGTCCATGGTTTGCTATTTTTGGAAGGACAGACGAAAGCAGTATGCTTAGTATGTTGAAAGTATTTTAGGTTCAGTTCATTTTGAACCAGTGTTTTACCTTACTTGCTAGGCTTACAAAAGGTGAACTATTATTTTCGCAGGCGATGGTTTGTGACGCATATAAACCTTCTACTTGATTGTGATTGTGATTCATCATATGACGGAGTTAGAGTGAGAGCGCCAACAAAGTTAAATTATTCATTTTTATCTACAAGCAAAGTGAATCTACTTTATGAAAAGTTTAGTCCTACTTTACAGCCTACTTATTATATATATAACATAATATAGACAGTTTATTTATTTTTATGTCCACCTAACGTCCTAGATACATGAATAACAATTTTCAGGTTTTGGGCAGTCGCGGTCCGAAGGCTCAGAGTGGAGCATCTTTCCTTCATCAGAAAACAAATGTCTTGTTTTATACTTTACTGAACCTGAACGCTGTAGCTTGCTGGAGGACAACCAATCCGAATTATACCATGGAATCTCAGGGAAGGGTCTTTATGAGTAATGAGACTATGGTGTTCCCTAATGACATCAAGGTTGATGCCAACGATATACTTTGGGTAATTATCAAATTTTAGTTTTATTCCTTTGTTGTTTTCCTTTTATTTCTTAGACTATTTCAGTAAAGGAGATACAATTTGATCAAAAATAACTGGAAATTACTCCTCTAGTGGTATATATTGTCTCAAGGATGTTTATGCATTTAATCGTTATACTTATTATACAGGGTGCGGCAAAGAGGACGGACGTTTTTGGGATGGGTAGTACTCTCCGCTTCCGTCTACGAGAGAGAGGGGAGGGTGCCGTTTGACTCGTGAGATCCTAGCATTATTTTACCAGTTGTCGTTATGGAGCCTTGGACGGTGGAGCACCGCGTTTTCGCCTATGAGTGACGAAGCCCACTTTCACCTAAACAGCTTGGTTAACCAGCAGAATTGTCTTTATTGGGCTAACGAAAATCCGCAAGTTACACGAAAGACCGCTGCACAGCCCAAAAGTAACGGTTTGGTGCGCTGTATCGCAAACTTGCATCATTGGCCCTTCGGTAATAGTCGTGATGTTACCGTGAACTCAGAGCGCTACTTCTTTCTCGCTGAATTACGACGGCGACGTGTTCCAATCCGACGTGTGTGGTTCCAGCAGGATGGGGCGACCGCCCACACAGCCCGAGCATCCATGGACGTTATTCGCCCTCTCTTCCCTGGTCGCCTTATTTCCAGGTTTGGCGATGTTCATTGGCCTCCTCGGTCCCCAGATTTATCTATATGCGATTTTTTCTTATGGGGACACCTCAAGGCTAGAGTATACGCGAACAAGCCCCGAACTCTGGACGAATTGAAGGGCGAAATTCGCGTGAAACTCGCCCAAGTTGAGAGAGCGATGTTGGAGAGAGTCTACGCGAACTTCCAAGAACGCCTCCAGCACTGCATCAACGATTTCGGCCACCATATGCCTGATGTGATTTTCCACACTTGACTGTCTCAAATGCTATTTCCTTGTAAACCTGATTCCATCAATGAATTTGTTTTCGAGTAAAAATTTACTATTTTATGATTTTTTTAACACCGTCCATCCACTCTGCCGCACCATGTATATTAATTACACCATGAAATTTGTAACCAATTCAAATGGTCTATTTCCAATAATTGAAAGTTTAGTGGACGAAAATCCACAAAAAAACTCAAAAATAGACGTACGTCAATGTAAAAGTTGTTCAAAGGATGCAGGGCCAAAATATTGTTGCCTTTATAAATTTTAAGGCAAATAATTTTTTCGTGCATTTGCACTCTGGGTGTCAACATAAACGTTTATAAAGAATTTTTTCTCGAATAGTATTTAGTTTCTTGGAGCTATTATTTTGCTTTTATTTTCCACGCCTGCCGGCGAGAAAGTATTGTGGTACCAAACATTTTCGAAAACGAAATATACTTTTTGCATATTATATGACATGTAGTTGTATATCATGAAAAAACATGTAATTCATTTTCGTTGGTCTGTCGGCCTGTCTGTCTATCGGTCTATTCGCAAATCCTTGGCCCATCTATAACTTGCAAAATATTGCTCGAATTCAGATGAATTTTTTACTTAATCCTACTTCTATGCCAAGAACGAAAAAGCCTTATAGTTTTTTTAAATCGGTCTCGTGGCGGCGAAGAAATACACCAAAAACGAAAAAAAAATTGCCCAAACTTCGTTTTTGACTTTCAAAGGGTCCTAATCATTTTTCAGAAATTTTTTAGGATTAACAAATTGAGGACTGGAGTTTGTACGTATATTTTATTAGTTAGTTAGTATATCAATACACTTGCAACTCCGGAAATTCTACGCACCTATTAGACATATTTCACACACCATAGATTTCCCCGTACCCCCCCCCCCTAAAAAAAGAATGATAGACAAATGCGTTCGACACGAATCCGTGCGTCTGCTCTCTAGCTGGCATGCGGGTCTTCATAAATGTCCTCGCATGACTGGCGCTCTGTTGCGCTGCCGCGTCTGACGCGCAGGTATTGGGGAGGGGCGACGTTGCTAGATAGGGAAGAGAAAGAATGTCTATGGACTAATTGTATGGACCTGATTGACGGATTTGATCCGTTTAATTATCTGTTATAGATATTCACAACTAACTTTTTTTCTCAGAGGGTCTAACTTAAAGTTAAACTTGCTGTTTTCGTCTGTTTGACCACTCAGCCAACCATGGACATCCGTTTCGTGCTTTTTTGGCAACTCATCAGGGATAACAAACGAAAGTATAGCAATATCATCTACCAAGATATACGTCTATATCTTATTTCGATAGGGTCCAACTTATGCTGAACATAGTCCTTAATGAACTGATGACGGCGTTAAGTGGGAAATGTAGAGACCTACTTGACGCCATTATTTACCTATATGCACACTAAACCTAATTTGTCTTTCTAGGTTATGTCCGACAAACTTCCTGTTTTTATGTACGATAAGCTGAATCCTAGCGAATACAACTTCAGAATCCTCAATTCAACTGTAGCCGATGCCATCAGAGGTACCGCCTGCGACTCCAAGATGGTGATGAACCCGAGCATCGTTAAAAACATTACCAAGAACATAACTCGTACAACTTCTGCAGTGGCAACAGCCGGTTCTAGTCCCATCCGTTCCGTCAACGTTCAAATGATTTGGGTGGTTCTCACTTTTGCAGCCTTATCTCTGACAACTCGCTAAAGGCTTATCAGCAAGATACTCTTGCTTAGTCACAAGTAAGAACTTAATAAATATGACTCCTCAAAAGGGTGACAGAAGTATAATAGACGCCAAACCAATTTTGGTACTATTTAGAAATCTGATAATGGATTGATGGAAAGATATCTACTTATCTTTCCTCCTAAAGATAAAGCGATCTTACAAGTTTTCATGCAGTTTTTAACTGCATTCAATTTTGAATCCCAAAACCTTAAAGTGATTCCTGTAAGTCCGGGCATTATCTGATGGGAAGAATATTATTATTTTAACGAATCTGTATGTTGCCAGCCGCAAATTTGCCTCAAATGTTTTTAAATAATTTTTTCAAGCAAATTAAAAAAAACTGATTTTGTCTCCGCTCATGTTGAAATGTTTTAGGACAATCTGGACAAAAAAGATGCATCAGAACTTATCTCTAAATTTGAAAGTGTTCAAGATATAAGCGATACAATATTTGGAAGAAATATGCGATTCTCGATCCCAAAAATCAATATGAAAAAACGAAAATATTGATGTTGTCAATACAATAGATATTCTTCAAACATCCATTAACAAAATTTTAAAGCATCTGAGACGGTATTGTTATTACAAACCTTTAGTTCATGCAGTTTTGAACTGCATTCAATGTTGAATCACAAAACCTTAAAGTTATTCCTGTAAGTCCGGGCATTATCTGATGGGAAGAATATCCTTATTTTAACGAATCTGTATGTTGCCAGCCCCAAATTGGCCTCAATAAGCAATTGTTTCAAACAAATTAATGAAAAACCGATTTTTTCTTCGCTCGTGTCGAAGAATTTTAGGACAATCTGGTCAAAAAGGTGCTACAGAACTTGTCTCTAAATTTGTTCAAGATATAAGCGATACAATATTTGGAAGATATATGCAATTTTCGAACCCAAAAAAACGATATGAAACAACGAAAATATTGATATTGTCAATGCTCCTAGATGTCCTTCGAACATCCATTAACAAAATTTTAAAGCATCTGAGGAGGTATTGTTATTGCAAACCTTTAGTTCATGCAGTTTTGAACTGCATTCAATTTTGAATCACAAAACCTTAAAGTGATTCCTGTTAGTCAGGGCAATATCTGATGGGAAAAATATTCTTATTCAGATTTTAACGAATCTGTATGTTGCCAGCCCCGAATTTGCATCAAAACTGTTTTGAACAATCTTTTTAAACAAATTTCAAAAATAGTTTTTTTCTCCCATCCTGTCAAGTGTGTTAAGACAATCGGGACAAAAAGGTGCTTCAGAGCTTCTCTCTAAATTTGGAAATTTTCAAGATATAAGCGACACAATATTTGGAAGAAATATGCAATCCCAAAAAGCAATATGAAAAAACGAAAATATTGATGTTGTCAATACTCCTAGATATTTTTCAAACATTCATTAACAAAATTATAGAGCATCTGAGGAGGTATTGATATTGTAAACCTTTGTTTTTTAATTATTAACCAAGCATGCGCTCAGTGTAAGCTCTGCGTGAGTGCGAGAGAGATGCAACATGTAGAGGCGGCCGCTTGCCGCAGCAACTAATCATTGAGCGCGTGCTCAGTTAACAATTAAAACACAAAGGTTTACAATAACGATACGTCCTGAAATACTTTGGATTGCCGTTGATGGATGTTTGAGGAATATTCAGGAACATTAATGATATTAAAATTTTTGGTTCGTCAAATCGTTTTTTAGGTTCAAAAATGGCATATTTCGGTCTTTAATATTGATTCGCTTATATCTCAAAAACTATCAACTTTCGAGAACAGTTCTAAATCACCTTTTTTTGTTCAGAATGTCCCAAAAACCTAAACTCACTTTGGCCGGAGCAACTTTTTTTTGGAATTTGATAAAAAACTAAAACATATTTGACGGCTTAGCGACAAGCAAAGTAGTTAAAACGAGCACTTTTTAAAAAATATAATGCAAACAATCGAAACAACATTTTTCTCACCAGATGAAAAGATATTGCCCGGACTATGTCTAAATAATTTCAGCAGAGAAGTTGAAAGCACTCAAACATTTTTAAACTAAGATTCCTGTTTATTCAGAATGATCAAGCAGAGCCCAAACTTTTGGGCTTCAGATGTATCATTTGAACTAGTGAGATCATCGTTTTCCGGTAAAAAATGTGATCCAGTTTCGCTGAGAACTTCCGTGAGATTCCGAAATGAAATAAAACTAATTAGTTTGCGTTCGAATGGAAAGGTTTGGATATACTTGAAATTCTGATGAGAAAGCCTTCATAATGAGAAAGTCTTTATGTATCGCGAAACTATTCATAACAATAAAAGAATGCAAGGAAATGGATTTCCCATGCATTAATCGGAGTCATATTTATACATACTGTAATTGTAAATATGTAAAATAAGATTTGCGAAGGTTCTTCATTTGAAGAAGTGTTTGTACGTATGTATAAAGACGCTTAGCAATACTAAATTATTCTATAATTTATTTATTAGGTGCGTTATATAAGAATAACAAGAACATAAACAATGCATTCCATTTTAACCTTGACGTGTGAATCCAATTTGATATTATTGTAAGTGGCATTAGTTATTTGTATCGGTTCAGACTGATTAATATGACAAAACAAAAGCATTAAATTTATATAACATTTATCGACTTTATTTATAGTATACTTGTAATTTAAGTTTTAAAATATGTATTAAGTGATTTTATATTTAAATAAAGCATACTATTTAAACACGTGTTTTTCTAAATTGACATTCACTCAACAATTACCCATTATGTGATCTGTGAGATATAATGAGAAGGAAACATCCGACTGGAACACTCAGAGCCAGACTGCATCGTGGAGGCGAGTTAGGGGGAGTAAATTCCATTCAGACGTCTTCCTAGGCGCCTTGTATTAGTTAGAATCCAGAAATGTGCGTTAGGAGCATAAAAAGACAAACAGTATTTTATTTTCAGGAAGTAATAATAATAATAGACGTCTTTATTTATCCACAATTACATTGTAGTATTGCCAAATGTCAGACTTACATGGCGAAGTTTAGCATGCTGCTACTCTCAGACTCAACCATACCTGTATACTCGTAGTCGTTAGAGATGTTCAAAATTATACACTGTTCACAAACAGATTTGGTTCATTACATCGAAAGTAAAAAAATAAAGAAAGGAAAAGGCAAACTTTCCAAGCCCAAGTACATCAAACATTATTAACCTGAGTTAAAGAAGGGTTAAACAAAGAAATGCATGATTACGTAAATTATATGTTTGGTGGGTTGTATAATATTGTTTTAACTTTTTGTCGAAATACAGGTAATGAAAATACTTTATGTACTTTAGAAAGGTCATTATGAATAATAGCAACATTGTAGGAAAAACTGCGTTGACGCGTAGACGCATGCTTTTCTCTGAGAGTTCTACAGTGAACATCATTATTAAATGAATTTTTTTCCCTCGAGTAAGAGGGTTTAGACGTGACCAGCAACTTGTGAACAAAAACTGAATAGTGATACATGACCAAGTCAATAATTTTTAATAGGTTTCCACAATAAGGCTTGTAATGTGCATAAACTTCTCATCAATATTAGATTTCGTAAATAATTCATTTATATCCGATGTAGAAAGATCGATAAGAAAAGAAACCTCACTGAAAATTTTAAAATCCCTGATTGTGATATGCTTTTGTTTACTTTTAAAAGATAGAATATCAAAATGAAAAAAGACGAGTTTGTGGTCCATTCGTGTCCACGACGGAAGAACAGCTGCATGCTAGCATCAAAACTAGACATGAGAGAACGTATATTCAAGTGTCCGATCTGAATTTTACTATCAGTCATTGAGAATATTTAAATCGTATATAATTTAGAAAAGCTTTTGAGTATTCTAAATAATTCTAAAATGATCAAAATTAAATTCGTGAGACATGTCTGTGTCGAAAGAATTTATATACTGGGCAATTTTTGTCTGTCGGAAGATGATCCGTACTGTAAGATTTTTTATACTGGTGATTTGAATACAAACAGTTGCACACATTTGAAATGTGTTTGCTTTCAAAAGGAGGTGTCATGATTTTCTCCAGACTGAGCAGAGACTAGGATTTTGGCATTTTCTTCCAGAAAGATTAAATCGGAAACAATTTGTGCACTGAGACACTTCATTATTTTTGTATAGGTACAGATACATTTTGAAATCCTAATAGAATTTTTACATCATAATCGTCGAAAATCTGTTGGAATAAATTACCTGTGACCTCTGCGTCTATTTTATTATCTTCCTTTTCTATAAAATGGTTCTGTATTGTGATGTCTTCTATCAGCTCTTCTTCGGTAATTTATTCATCTGTATGGCAGCCTACGATTTAAATTTCATGTCTAAACATTTTCGGCTGTCACCTGATACGGTGCTGGTAAATTTTTCTCAATGTCTTCCTTTAACTGGGTATGATTACTTTCGTGAACCTTAATTTCCATACCACCATTTCTAAAATTCTTCACATCGTCAGTTTTGATTTGAAGCTCAGACCAGCTTAAGTTTTTGTCTAGGTCTATAACTATGCTTTTCAATGGGGTTTCTTTGCTTCTTGTAACAGAGGTCTTCTTTGCTCGATCAATCTATCTTTTTCTATTAATAACTGACTGTATGAATGAACTTTTTCACATAATATTTTTATTTCCGGTTTTAGCTCCTTATTTGATTTTCTAAGGCACTTACTGAGCCGTATTCATAAAAGAGAAGCATATCCTCGGAAGCAAAAGGTAAAAGTATAAGGTCTTGCTTCGGAGAAAAAGGTAGTATAAGCATATCCTTGTGTTTATATTCATAATGATTACCTTATACTCGCGAGGATATCCTCCAAGAAGAAGTAAAAGGTTGACTGGTATTTGTATTTTGAGCGACATGTCCTGACTTGTTCCAGCTTGTAGTTGACGTGGGAGTTCGTTCACTCAGCATCACTGACAGTTGTACTCCAGAGCTTACACAGACCGTTCCGAATTTTTACTGGATACAGTTTTTTATCAAATTAATAAGCATGTCATCCTCAAGTGATGAGGAAACTATAGAAAATAATGGCAACGACCTGCAGTTCATCGGGATGAAATTGCAATTGCTCCCATTATTTTGCAAAAGTCACAAGTTCCAAAAATAAAAATGAGAAAGGACGATGCCTTGAAGAAGATGATAAAATACGTATCAACATCCGGTAAACCATTATATACTAAAGGCTTATTAAAAAAAAATCAACAACATGAAATCAAGATTAAAAAAAAACAGATCTTAGAAAATTGGTAATAAAGCAATTAAATTGTTAGATTGGGAAAGAAAGTTGTTGAAAGCTATGGAAGGTTACTGTAATCCTACAATTGGGAAAATTAGAGGTGCCATTTAGGTTGGTAGCGCAGTGAGCAAATAGCTAGTATTACAGCGCCAGTAATTCAGAAGACATTGCCACCAAAAAGAAAATGAGCAACAGAGAAATATGAAACTGAGGAAACCAAAGGGTTAACTACAAAATAACTGCAACGTCTAGTGCAATTACAGCAGTACCAAACAATTATTTTACAACAAGAGTATTATAAAACGAAATTAGAAATGATGCAGCGTCAGAAGCCACCTGTAACTTATGATGTTCACAAAAATAAAACTTATTATAACTTATAACTACACTTTAATCAGTAAAACTATTTATTATGATACTCAAGTTTCTTCTTATTTGTTGACCTAGTTGGCGGAGAGGAAGTTCGTCATTCTCATGATTTCCTTCATCTTCATCTGGGTCTTGTTCAGCTAACTCAAAGTGAGGATCGCGCAAGCTCTTCGCAACATTATGGAGTACAATACAAACAATAATTATTTTCGGCACATTCTCCAATTTTACGCGGCAAACATACTGTAGGATAGGAAAGCGGCATTTCAGTTGTCCGAAACAGCGTTCAATTATAACTCTTTCTTGTTTCAAAAGTTTATTATAATTTATTTCTGCACCTGGAGTAGGATTTCTGAAGGGAGTCATAAGGCATGGCTCAATACCATAACCATCATCGCCAAGTAGTACAACAATTGCTTTATTTATTAGTTGTGATCTAGTCTGTGAATTTCTCCATATTCTGCAATCATGCACTGATCCAGGCCAACTGACATCAACACTTGTGAACATCTCTCTGGCAGCACAAGTGACTTGCACATTTAAAGTAGGTTTCCCTTTTCGGTTGATATACTCATCTCCATGGCGATTTGGTTTCAGGATTCCTATATGTTTACAATCAATTACACCAATTGCTGTCGGAAATTTATACATGCTTTGCCATATCCGCTTGGCCTCCATCAGTTCATGGTTGGTAGTTGGAAACTTGATCCATTCGTTCGACTGTGCAACTATGCTGTTCACAACTCTATCCACAGTTCGAGATACCGTTGCTTGACTAACACCAAGTTCCTGACCAATACCGTGTTGATATCCAGGGTCACCGAGATAGCGTAGACATATCTTCATTTTATGAATACATGAAAGCGCTCTTCCTCGGGTTTCCTCATTATCAACTAAAAATCTGTCCACAAGCCATTGCACATTTGCTTCGTCGAACTGATATAATTTTTTGAAGTCACGACCAAGTGAAGGCAAACGAGATTTGTATGTTTTAACATCTCTAACATCCACAATTTCCGCCATCATCGTTTGACCATCTTTCGTTACGAAGTTGAGTCTGCTACTGACCACACTCAGACTTTTTGAAGGATATGCTTCCTATGCCAAGTATAAGGTGAAGATTATAAATATTCTTTTACTTATGTCACTGCTTTGAAGGATATACTTATACTCGAAAAGCAAAAGCATTTACTGCAAATTATTATAAATACCATCTGGAGGATTTCCTTCAAAATTTGCAAGTACAAATATATCCTTTGTTTTATGAATACGGCTCACTGTTTTTCGGTGTTTCCGTTGGTGCATGACTTGGTTTGGTTACCACCACCTTAGTATTCTCAAACTTAGCTGAAGCAACCTCAGCAGTTTTATTTTTTTTCTCATTCATGTAGTACCCAGTATAGTCGTATCAGTTTCTTCTAATCTAGATGATTGATGTCAAATAGTTTGTCAAAATTCTTCGCTGTGATGACCGAAAAAATGTTTGCCACCGGAAAATCTGTTATCCTCCAAAAATACCAATGGAGCTGCACCCCAACAATCGTTACAGCAGGGAGTAATAAAATAATTCAACGGTTTTCTCGAGGTATACGCGGATTCAGTGCAATAAGGCAAGTCAAAATGTAGGGTAGATTGGTAAATCTAAGTATTTCGTTAGTTTCTAACTCAACCACAAATATTGATCGTTCTGATGTCCTAAATACTTGTACGCAAAGTGCTGTCACCCGTAACGCTGTCGATCGTTATCGTTGTATAGCATTCACCAAGTAGATAAGATGTTTTAATCATGGTTTTAGCATATATCATCGTGACTTTTCCAGAATAATAAAAGGAATGATAATCCTTTCAGATAAAACACACCGCTTCCAATATTGAATATTAAAAATTTACGACCTATACACCTATATTCCGATAACTGATAATAAAGTACAGAGTTGACATTTGAATCCAATTGTATTGAAATTTTTCGCGTGTGTTGTCCGCAAGATGCAGATGAAAGTGTCTTTGAAGGATCCCCATAATCTCCTGAAGATATGTGTTTTGGTCGGATGCACCATAGGCACGGTGATTCAGGTATGTGATATTAGTCTTACTTCCTGCAGAATACGTACACCCTGCTAGTGGACGCTGACACGTAGTGTGCGCCTACATATTACAGGATTGCTAGCCTTAACGTCCCATATGGATCTATTGTGATCTCCCATAAACACTGTCTAAACCACTATGTCCGTCATTGATCCTTTAATCAAACTGCGTAGCCTTGACACAGGGCTTTGTATGTAGCTTTCTGTTGTTGCAGTTGTAATTCTTAATATCTGAAACCGAAGCCTTGCCAGGCCTTAGCAGTGACACAAAAGATGCACTGGGGTTTTCTCGTGCTCTCTACATAAACGGTATGTGGCCTCTTCTGGCATACCCAAGAGGCTCTTATCTCGATTTAGTCCTTTTGTGAGAACCTCTATGGCCCTTATGGCCTTCCTACCAAATTCAAGTAGGTCCTCTGTAAATACAGGCTTTCGTTCTTTAATGAACTGTTTTGACGGATTGTGAACCGGCAGGCTGCTCCACCATTCTAAGGACTTTTTCTTGGTTCAATCCCTTATCGATTGTTTGATGCGTATTTTCGCCACGCCACAGAAAGGCTCGGGGCCTATAAGACGATTGACCGCACCCTGTTGGGTAGCTTATTTTCCTTCTCATTTCGTTTGTGCCCTTCGTGTCCAAAGCAATGTTACCTTGTTTCGGTTTCCAGGCTCTTTGAGAGTATTCATGAAGTCCTCTACAAATTTAAACGATGTTTGCAATCGACTTTATGCCTGGCTGTTGGCGATCGACTGATTTACAGTCTCCTTCCTTATTATCTCTTTTGTACAGTCTTGTGTGTGTTACCTTAACCTGCAATATTGTAGCTATGTTACCTAGACTTGTAGGGATCTCAGTTTTCGGCCTTTTCTCATAAAACCCCGCGCCTAGCACTTCTCTTATTCCCCCACAGCACAATTGTACACGTGATACCTTCAACAGCCCACATCATATCTAGGTGGTATCTCAGCACGTTGTTACCAGCCAACGGCTCCATAAGCACCCTCATGTTGCGTCTACAAAGTCCATCCAAAAGAGGCCAACCCTTGTTAGGCCCTAGAATAATGTCTCGCGCCTGACATTATATTATATATATTCTACAACTACGCCTCCTCTCTACTTTTCGACATAGTCGCTAAACATATCTTTGAACAGACTGAAATACCTCCTGCATCAAAATCTACAGCCTGTGGATGAGGCAAACCTATCACGGCGTTTTGAAGCTTTCCATCATTGGTGAACCACAGTGATCCAAGCCATCGCTTCATGCACGGAAATACGTGAAAGCCACTACGAACCGGACTATATGGGGTATGATCAAAAACGTCCCATTTGAACTTCCAAAAGTTAATTTGTCCTTTGAGTTATGTGAGGGCGAGCATATCATCACGTGTCAGAAAGCCACGGCGCTTGTTCTGGTGTTCTTGGTCAAAGCTTCACAATAGTTTGCCAAGTAATAGTCGTAGCATCGCAAAAACCCGTAGCGATAACTTTCTTTGTTGACAAAGTTTGCCGAGCTTTCTTAAGGCTTACCTGGAGAAGCGGTATGACCTCATTGCGTTGACTGCTGTTTGGTCTTAGTATTCACGTAGGTTACCTAATCCTCATCGCCAGTAACAATCCTGTTGAAAAACGTTTCCCCTTCAGAGTTATACTGAGAAAGAAAGTCTATGTCAGAACTCATTCTTTTTGTTTTGTGGTCGTCGGTCAGCGGTTTTGTAGCCTAGTGTTTTTGCTACTATCATGTGGAAAAAAAGTTCAGGAAATCCCAAAACTGTGGAGCGACGATTCTCACGAACGCTTTCGATCACTTTGTTCAGTAGGTAAGCACTAACAAGAGAAGGCCTGCCGCTGCTTCCTATATCGTGAATCATTGTTCTTCCTTTTTCAAAAAACCGCTCCCATTGACGTACTACACCGTCACTCATAATGTTTGGTCCATAAGCTACACACAATTCACGATGAATCTCGGCTGCTGAGTGATTTTTCCCTAAAACAATCTAATTACACCAGGCGATTCATACTTTGCGGGATTTTCTATTACGGCACTACTTCTCATGCTAGGCATAAGTGGAGCCTACTGTCTGGATAACCCTCGTATTATGTACATGACCGGACGATCTGTTTGCTTTCCGTCTCCGTGACCACAGCCATAGTATACAGCTTTGTTTCATGCTTTGTAGCAATCATCAGTACGGTCAATGTACAGTCACTTGGAGACAAACGACGGAAATCATAGAAGAGAATATTTTTCTATTGGAAAACTCAACATCGTGATGTGCGAAAAACACAGGTGACACGCCACCTATGAGTAGTTCCGCCAATCCCAATACTACCGACCCCTATGCACGTGGAAGAATTGCAATTGTGAAAAATTTCGAAAATTTCTGGGTGTTGTATCAGGTACTTCACGAAAATCCGACACTTTTTTCCGTCTCTCTGTCGATCCGCTTATCATTGACCCCTCTATAGCTTGGAACGTACCAGTTAGATTTTGATGAAATTTCCACACAGGGTTTTTGAAAACCGATCCAGTTGCGGCGGAGCTCGGAGCAAAAAACTCAAAAAATTAAAATCTCTTAAACTTCGATCAATGGCGTTTCAGAGGAGGGTATATCTCATTTTCTGGACAGTAATATACTCATACGTATCTAGTCGTGGTAATTCTAAACACCTTATCTAATTCTTTATCCCGTAATTTAGAAGAAGCTAATTAAATACCCAAATTCAATAAAAAAAGAGAAAAAAATTCTGCTAGATCAGCAGCGAAATTTGTTGTAAGTGCTAACTGACCTCATGTTTCCTTTATGCTTTCATATTGATTATACTTTATTTTGTCGTTATTGTATTCAGGTATTAATTTTCTATAAATTTTTCTTTTTTATACATCTCGTATTGTTAACGGTGAAAAGGAAACGATTGTGGGCTGGTCTTAGACGGTGGTCGGCGCTACTTTAAAAGAGGAAAGGATGACTGCGGGTGCCTACCGAGGTAAATTTTTATAATAACAGAGTTGGATTTCGATTAGCGATCTAGCCTGTAGATCGTTTCCTATTTTGGTACTCAGCTAGTGATCATTTAGTATTGTTCTACCCTTCTTACTGTTCTTCGATATTGTGTTGTTGAATTGTTGTGTTGTACTCTTGTTGGTGTGATTATTCTTGAGTGAATTTTTTATCAAGGTTGCTAAGCAAGAATTTTTAGGGAAACAGAAAAAGTGACGACGAGATTTTGCATATCGAACAAGTCATCAAATTACAGGACTGTGCTTTGTGGCGTCTTCATCGGAGGATAAGGTTGACAGCGTCTCGATTTGGTGAAGTTTGTAGAAGAAGGCAGACAACATGCTGTAAAGTTCTAGTAAACTCGATCATATACCCAACAGAGTTTTCTAGTAAGGCAATAAAAAAAGGCAATACAAAAATCATTGGTGATCGTACACATCCATTTCTGGCAGTATCACCTCCATCTACCTATTACAGTAGATAAGACATGTACTCAATTCAGGTATAAGCCTACCTGTTTATTGCTTTGCAAAAACTACCTAACTGTTTCCTCTTATTTTGACGGCATAAGATATTTTTATGACCCTCGTTCAATTGTTACTATCTACCACACGAACCTTTTAAACATAATTAATTGTGTTTATTGACATGTATAAACGAATTAGAATTTGAGTTCTTGAATTTATTTTAGGAAAGATATAAAATTATTTGTATACGTTTTTTCTTAGTCGGAACGCACCGTCGCGTCGCTTGGACTGGCAGGACGAAACAGTAGATGAATTTCGTCCAAAAACTGATTTGCACTTCACAGCTTATTTTTTATTATTTCCAAGTGAAACTCTTGCAGCGTGCTAAAAACAAAGTCCACAGGGTGCCAGCGATCGATTTTATCCACTAGGATGTTTTTAAAATATCAAGAAGTTGAGCACAAATAGTGAGCATTTCAACCCACCATAATTCTTGCGCAAAGAAAAAATTTTGTAAAAAGCTCTGATAGCACCCTAGGCAATTATGGCCTGCTTATATCCAGAAAAACATCATAAACTGCAGAACACAAAAGGTAACGGCGAAATGGGTACATTTCACGGGTTATGAAATTCAAATGAAAATGCAGGTACAAAATCTGCCAAATAATTGTTCGCAAAAACATATCAAGAACATAAAAAAAATTGTCTCCACCACACAAGAGGCTGCATTACACTGTTGGATAAAGTTGATAACTTTGATCGGAATGCTATCAGACGCAGTCCATCAATTTTTTGAAAGGCAGAAGCTTCCCGCCATAGACAAAGTGTTACAGGAGGTTAATAGTGATGAAAACTTATTTACTTTCAATAGTTTATTCAAAGAACTTCATTTTGACTATAGAAAACGGCGCAGAAATAGTATTTTGAAGGACAGCCAAGAGATTATTTTAAAATCAATAAATACCGCAACCAGGGCAGGAAGTCGAGAATGGTGGAATGCTATCAAAAACCTTGGCGTTCATGGTTCTAAAAATGATAACCGGTGTTCAATACAGCCTGACATGCTTAATGATTATTTTATAGACTCTATTCCCGTCAATAAGGTTAATAACTACTTACGGACACTCTATATCCCAAATCATCTTTCCCCTGCAGATCAACCGTTTAGCTTTAAACTTGTTACTAAAGAAAGGGTTTTGGATTTTTTTTCTAAAATTAAGTCATGTGCAAAGGGTCTGGATGGCCTAAGCTTAGATCTTGTGATTCCCCTAATTCCATACTGTATCGATGCATTAACACACATTATACATTTTTCACTAGAAAAAGGTGTCGTGCCGAGCCTAGCCTATGGAAAGCCGCTATGGTTAGACCTCTTGCAAAAATTGATGATCCGATAGCACCTGGTAATTTCAGGCCTATTAGTATTCTGCCATTGCTATCTAAAATTCTGGAAAGAATTGTCTATGAGCAAATACTAGGACACATAAATAAAAACAGTTTGATTCCAAATGTTCAGTCGGGGTTTCGGAAAGGTCACAGTACGGTTACCACTTTGATAAACATATGCGATGACTATATCAGAGCTATGGATAAATCTTGTGTCACAACGTCAATTCTAGTTGATCTCAGCAAAGCTTTCGATTCTATCTATCATGAATTGCTTCTTGCTAAGTTGCATTATCTTGGATTTTCTGATAGTACTGTTACGTGGGTTATGAGTTACTTGCATGAGCGGTCACAGCTAGTCAATGTAGGCGGCTGTATGTCCGATAAGCGTGCGATTTTGAAGGGGGTACCGCAGGGCTCCATACTTGGCCCAGTCTTACGCTGACGATACCCAACTGTATTTGTCTTACCGTCCTTCCGATTTCCTGGAGGCAAACAGGAGAATGTCTTGTGATCTAGATCGTGTTGCAAAGTGGTATAACGATCACGGGTTACTTATCAATTCAAACAAATCTGCTGTCATAACTATTAAGTCCATACAAAGTAATTTCGATAGTAACTTGATAGAATTACACCTGGAAGGTGGAGACTTGCCTCATATAAAATCCGTGAAAATTTAAGAGTAATAGTGGATGAACATCTCATGTTTCACGATCACGTGTCCAGGGTTGTGGAAATTTCATATGCTAAGCTCAAGACAATTTACAGTTATAAACATGTATTATCTAGTCAAACCAAGATCAAGCTTTGTAACTCTTTGATTCTCAGCAAAGTCGAATACGCTGATGCGGTGTATGGTCCATGCCTGACACAGTCGGAAGCTTATAGGATACAAAAAGTGCAAAATAGTTGTATCAGGTATGCATTAGGTGTTCCGAGAAGGGAACACATTACTAGATACATTAAGGATGTCAACTGGCTCACGATGCGTCAGAGATGGATTGTACACTTGTTGGTCATAGTACAGACAGTCCTATTAACCAAATATCCAGCATATCTGAGCAGCAAACTCTCATTTAGAAGTCAGCATCACTCGGCGAACTTACGCTTTGTATGTTATACCCTCGATATGCCCCCCCATAAATCAACACAATTCACAAAGTGCTTCTCATACATAGCGCCTTCCCTTTATAATTATCTATCATCAGATCTGAAAAGTTTGAGTAACAATAATTTTAAAGTTAAAATAAAGCAATTTGTTCTCGATAATACCTAATTCTATACTAAGCTTTCATCTTGTAACTGCTGTGATTCTACATTAAGTGTCTGGTTGTGGTCTTTTTTTTTCATTATTTCTGTTTCAGTGAGTGCGTGAGTGTATGTGATTTAAATCTGTCTACACATTTTACACACTATTATGTTGTATTTGTCACTTTTCAGTACTATATGTGTTGATCATTATTTTTTTTGTATCTGTGATTTTTTTTATGTTTGTTAAACTTATGTAGCCCTGGTTGGTACCAAAAGCAGCTATTAGCTGATACACCCGCCAGGTAAAATAAAGGCATATTATTATTATTATTATTATTTATTACTTGGATGAAACCTGTATATATGCAGGACATACAAAACCTAAAGTATGGGCTGACTCTACAATTAAATCAGCAACACAAGCCTTCTTAGATGGACTAACCACTGGCCTAAAGATTCTGTCAGGTACGTGTATCTAACCAATTCGTCATTTGTGTTGTAAAAATGGTGTCAAGTAGACTGAATTTATGACCTCACGATGAAAACGATTTGTTTTATGAAGCTGTCAACAGAATGACGGCAAACCATTGGAAAGATTGCATCTGTCACGTTCAAGAGACAATCGAAACAAAGATGTGGGATCTGGACAATATGATTGATATCCAAATTGAACCAGTAATAAGTAATATTAACCATTCGGACGATGATTCAAGTACTTCCAGCGAATACTCGTAAAGAATTGTGAAAAGTATGTGCACTTCTTTCTATAGAAATAATCATTTATTTTGTTAGATTATTCCAAATCCATTAAGGAAAATACAGACCTGTACAATCTCGCTTTTGGGCATGTTGTGTTTTGTTTGGGAGTAAATGGACTACGAATGGGGTATAGTACCTCTCTGGGTGAATATGGGATTCTTATGTGGTGGATGTACTTGCTTGCCTTCTTAGAAGAGAACACTATCGCTTAGAAACGCCGAGAAACTGTGGTTTCCTACTGACGTACGTAGTAGGTCTCGGGAGCTCTACGATTGGCGAAACTACTCATACTTAGGTGGTGTGCTACCTTTAGTTTATGCAGATAAGTAAATCCAGGTGCGTTACTGCTACACTATCAAGAGCCACTCTACCTACATCAAGGGTTCTGAGTTACTTTGCAGGTTGTTAGTACCTTACATGGCTGACCAGCAGATCTTGAAAAGTCATGAGAAGTTTTTTGCTCTCCTAGTAATGTACCGTGGAAATTTAATAAAGATTGAAATATACCTGTTACAAAACTGAGCCTATTATTACCAATCTGTATTTTAGTTTTAAGAGAGTGAATTCGAAAAACGGATATTCGGTAAAGACTAATATGGTTGAATGATAATATCAAAGAAATAGAAATGTAATAGAAATCTAAAGCTTCCGATTTTAGGTTTTGAACTGCATAAATAAACTATTCCATCCACCAGTTTCTACTCGCTACAGCTACAACTTAAACGAGAGTATTAAGTATCCCTGCGTGACAACATGTAGAAGACCTCCATTTAAAAACGAAGTGTTTGAAGTACGTAGATGCTTAAGAGTCTTTGGTATTGTAAAGAAAAATAATTGATTTTTTTCCAGGAATTCAATGTAAAATCCAATATGGATCTTACGAATGCATTGGCGTTTTCCGATTTCAATTTTTCACAACATACACTCAGTGAATTTGTTAATAAATCGAGTTATCATTTCTATCAGCTGTTTGCTCAATACGGCTTCGCAGGACAAGGGTCAAGTGATGGTAAGCTAGAAATCTAGGTTTCGTTTGCTTTTTTGGCTATATTGTGAAACAGACTTGGGTCGAATACTGAAATCCGAAATTAGAATGTGAATCCTGAATACTGTATTTTAAATTGTGTTCGAATACTCAATATTGGAATACAAAGGTAAAAAAGTATTCGAATACCGCTGTTATGGATATCTGGATCATTTATATATGAATATTTTTTAAATATTCCAACTAAGAAAACATATTTGCACTATGAACTTGATTTTTATTTATATGCTCAAGTGATGAAAGAACTCGTATATAAAGAAAATTAAAAGATACATGGCTATATTAAATAAAACTCAAAATAACATTTTGATACACAGTTTCACAGTGAGGTTAGACAAATTAATTGTATAATAAAAACATTCTTTTACCCCCGTCCACATAAACAAAATAACCTTGCGCAGCTATATTGTTTGTGACATCCACAACCACCGCAAACGTGTTTTAACAGGAGTAAGTTGCATGCAGCGTAACGCAATATTCATAAAAGTAGCCAAACAGTATTTGAAAACAGGATTTCAATATAGGTTTCGAATCACAGGATCTGAATGCAAAATGGGTATTCGAATATTGGGATTTAGAAATGGTATTCATAATCCAGCATACCAGTACTGACCAAAAAAGTATTCAGTCGAATACCAAACACACAAATGTATTCGAATATCAGCCAAATGTATTCCGCATAGGATTCAAAATGCCAAGTGTTCGAATATTACCCAAGTCTGTTGTGAAATGTAGAAACTTAAAGGTAAACGTCTATAGCTCCGCAATGCATGAATCGCAGCATTCGCACCGGTTGGATTTCAGAATTCCGTGCACAGTTTGGAAACCGATGAGTCTATGGATTCGTACGTATCAGATCATTTACAATCCGGAGGACAGAATTTATCAAGAGGGCAATTATTCTGATAGTCCAAATATCTCCCCATCTGCTCGGAAATATATTCTGATTCGGTGTTTTCTATCAGTCGTTGCACACATTAGACATCCGCCCGGTGGTACCTCCACGTTCGACAGTCTGAGACCGTCTACCACCTACTGACAATCAGATAGTCAAGAGAAAAGCTATGTTGGGATCCGGTTTGAACCCGAATGCCTCAAGTCACCCGATTAGTAGACACGTAGCGTCTACCACTACGCCACCGCACTGCCTGCAATTAGGCGCCCAATTGTAAATAGGCGTCGTTTGAGCCATCTAATTGCTGCGGATACAGTGGAGCCACTACCATAAGCTGTCGATCTATTTATTGCGAACAGTCTGATACATATGCTCAGACGCATGCAATGCGGACTTGTGGACGAGTGCCTTAAAAAGAATTGTATACGCTTTGGTGATTACTCGCTCAGTATATTGTTATTTATATCAGACCTAGCTCTCTCTTGGTCGGATCATTTTGTGAGAGGGCGGTGCCATACGATAACACCACTCGTTCAATCCAATGTATTTTCAAGAAGAGGAGGATACTTTTTCCATTACAAACAGGATAAAAAACCCAAATTGGTGGATGATTATGGTGTCTCAAAGGCTGGTTTCGATATTTACCTGCATAATCCCAACGAAATATTAACATGTAAGCTACAAAGAACATCATTAGTTATCGAATGTTTGGATGAAAAACCAATTTATAAAAAAATAATATAATACCCAACTAACAATTATCACTCCTATTAGAGTTGCAAGAATGATTATGCAGTATTCCTTACACAGCACTGTAAGAACATTGGTAAAACCCTCTTAGAACAGCTATACAAGCGGAATGGGCACACCTAATAGGACACTACAGTCATTTAAGAGGTTGTATAAGGGTGCAGGTAACAGTTATACAACAACAGTGTAAGCCTCTTGCAGCCGCTATAGGACATTTGCGTCAGTGCAAGATTCAGTTTTTGTCAACTAAACAACTATTCTGTTACGTGATTCTACTTTATTGCAACCAAACTATTTCTTATGTATTGTATAGACGAAGTGAAGAATATATAACTAACAGATTACAGTCATCTTGTTTACTTACATATCGGTCATTGTGAATTTCATACACAGGTATATGATAAACTTCTACACTGCGATATAGGGCTATTGAATTACTTGCGCAGCAAATTTTATAGTGATTATTGTTCAAAGTAGTTACGCAATTTCTACGGGCTTCGTATTTGATTCATATTTTAATCATGATCAAAAGTATGTCTAGATTTTTAAGATGGAAAACTGAACTTATCTGCGTTAAATTTTCCACAAATCCTAGAATTAGACACAATTACACTAAGGTTTATCACCTTATATCTGTAATGTCGAACTGAAACATAATTATTTAATATTAAATAGAGGAATAAATGTTTGCCCAATATGGCGGGTGGTTGTGTATAATCATGGCATCGTCCATGTTGTCTTTAGTTTATTAGAATATTTTGGTGTTGCCTGCAGGTGTTATACAACAATTTGACAAACGTCTGAAATAAAATACCGACAGAGTCGAATGATTTACCCAGAATTTGTACCAGATCTATATCTTCTGTTTGAACAGTAGATAAAACCTTTTGTACCAATATGCATGCGTTGTTTGTCTTAAAACATTGGTTATGGCATATGTACAGCCTTTAACAGTTACTAAACAACAGTTGTATGAGTGCTTCCGTTGGGTGCAATTTGTTGGCTAAAGTAGTAAATTTGTACAGCAATACAAGGCTTGTGTTTGTTTTATAACGGTTACCATAGATGCTACAACACAACCATTTTGACTAACGTGAAAATATGCCGTATAAAATAGTTGTATAAACGTTTATGCAACAGTTAAAAATTTGTCCTATAAGGTGTTGTTTAACTATGCTATAAGAATACTTTAAACAACACATTTTAGAGCAAATATGTTACAGAAATCAAATTTGCATTCCACACAACATTAAGCCAGCGTTTTGTGTTCAGCAGGCAACAACAATAGGCTGGCTATATGGCTGAACGGTTCTTTTACCAATGCTTATATGTAGCATTACTTTGCTAGTTGGGTACTTTTTTAAACTATGATCTCCCTTTTAATATGATTGGTACTCTTACCAAAATGGTTTATATCCTCAGCTTTGACACTTAGATGTATTTAAAGTAACATAGATAAGCTTTTTAGATGATGAAGACCAAACGGATAGTTTTATGGAACACATATATTTGGAAGCAGCTGAAGACATGCGCATTACTTTGGATGTGCAAGAATATAGAAGAGTCCCTACAGCAGACATTAAATGCGATCCTACCCCTGGTTACAGCAAATCCAAGGTTTGTTGGAAAATTAATCGAAATCTTAGAGAAATATATTTGCTAAGCTGATCAGAATGAGAAGGGTTAAAAGTAAACTCCCACTACTAGTCTTGGCGGGTTATATCTTTGATCAGATCGAAAAATGTTTTCCTGTAGAGTAGGCATCAAGCTTTGTGAATTTTCAGAGTCCTGAATAGGACGTTTCGGTCTGGAGACTCGCTCAAAGTTTGGATTTTTGTGAGAAATGTGTATTTCGGCGGTTGGCAACTTATCTATTTTCTCGCTAATCCTGTCACTGGAACGCATTAGGTCCCGCAATTGATGACTTTCCTGAAGTATATTTCTCCGAAGAATTCATAAATTAATTACGAATTACGACTTGATATATGAATTCAACCAACATTGTTGCACTAACCACCTTTAAAATCGCAACGTTTTTTGCGAATATATCTTAAAAGCTGCGATAGCCCATGAAAATTCAGAATGTGTTGAGTAAGATCGTTGCCTTTGTAATCATCCCAATCTCTAAAAAAATCCATACACCCCCTCTAGCATGATGAAAATGGTAAATTTTGGGCAAATATATCGAAAATTGACTCTAAAAGCCTATTCGGCCAATTCAGCTCCGAGAACAAAATGTATCTCATCTCATGCTTCCTTCGCGAAAACATCTTATTGGATTTTTTGGCATTTGAATTATCAGCCCAATGAAACAGTGGAAGATTTCGATAATAATCACTTTTGACTGAAATATCTGCCGAACGAATTATCAGATCTCAATTTGGGGGTCATTTTTGAGATCCTTGGACAACCGTGCTTTATGAGGTCATATTTACTTTCTTATCCTTTTCATGGACAGAAGTAGCGGGGAAAACCATAAAATTCACATTTTTTTTTCCTAAACATGAGAGCGTCTTCATACTGCACTGTACCACCTTGGATCATTCATAGAAACTCGCCATGAAAAATTTGAGCCCCATCTGAGATATGACTTGCGAAGCCGAGTTCTAAAATTTTATTTTGACTTTGACAACTTCTAGGATGATTAGTCATAAACCAAATTCTTAAAATTGATAGCATTTATACATTGCCGGTATGTTTAATGACCAACGATATACAATATTTGAAGGATAAAAAAAGAACACATCAATCATTGAAAAACTACCTACCTAAGTGTAGTATAAATTTCATTTTTAGTGTCAAGAAACATGCATTCATCAACAAGTTGCAAAAGAGATGAATTGTGTTGTGCCTTGGTTATTTCTACCACAAAATCATAGCTACCCAGAATGTGGCAATTATAAAAAGGTCGAACTTATCATTAGAAAAGTGACATAGTAAGTATTCTGACAGAACTAAAGAAATTTGAAGACCAATAGATATTACCACTCATCGAAGATAGTCTCAAGATTTTCGAATATATTTTTTTAAGTCCTCTGAGAGGAAGCTAAAGTATTTGGCACTGTGCAAATAAGTTTGGAAAGTTTGCTCAAAATAACAGATTATCTACAAGTTTTAGGGACAAGTACATACAGAATTGCAACTGTCTTATCGCTTGCGATTTTACAATTTACAAACCATCAGTCATCAGCAGAAAAGCAGTGGTAGATAAAATCACATATCCAGATAGCCTGATAACAATATATTACTCTAAAAATTTGGTCACAGTCATAAGCGAGGTTGCTGGTTACGACTGGTATCAACTATTCTCAGATGTATGTGCACTTTTGGGATTTTTACTAGGTGAGTATTATTTAACAAGGAAACATCTGTACCTATAACATAGCATAAAATTTATGTAGAAACAACAATCAAGCTTTACTGATTATTTATCAGCAACCACTGCAATCTGTACCGGAGTCTGACATTTGTTGTTTTAACCGGATATCAGTATTTTGATATTCTGACTAAACTGTAACGTAATATGAAATGCAGAGCAACGAAACGCTTGATAAATTTGAAACAGAAATCTGTTCCCTCACCTCATCTATTCAAGATCTAATGAAAAAAAAAGACTTGGATAATCTTTACTTAAGGCAAGCATGGACGAACCTAACAATTGGAGGATAGGTGTTCAGTGAGTCACACAAAAGAAATAAATAAATAAACAATAAAAAATAATATATAGCGTGTATTGCCCAACAGTTAAGGAAACCATTTACGGGAAGATAAATCAAACTAACAAAAATAATAAACATATTTTACTCAAGTGAGAAACATGTCATAAATTGTTCAAGTAATTCCTATTTACTGCCAGAATGCTGTTCAAACTGGTATATCACAGTAATTAGATATGGCATTGAAAGTTTCACACATTACATAGTCCGGGTGATTCTCCAAGGTGGCTCACCACTATAACTTTTTTTATTATTAAAGATAGAAAAACGAAATTTGAGGGTTGCGTATTATAAACGAATTTACATTTTTTGACATATTCATTTGCCTTGATGTGCTTCCGATTTGACCGGAAACGACTCCAACTTTCGATTTTTAACTGGGACACTCTATACGTTTTTACTTATTTCTATCGAGAATGGCATTCTGAATTGAACAACGCCTCACTTGTCAATATTTGACAAATAAAACCATTTTTATATCAATGTTTTATTTTTCGATCTAGAATGCCATGGATTCTGTAAACCGCTTCATTTTTGATCAAGTAACACGGGAAAAATACGATTTTGAGGCGAACGACTTCACAGTCGCTTTAACAAATTTCTAAAAGTTACAAACACTAATATTTTCAGTTTTTAGAAAGGAGGTGGCTCGTCGGCTTTTCTAAGAGACCATTTACTTACGAATAATTTGACACTAGACACTCTTATTTTATTTACACTGGTTTTCTGAATAATTGTATAAAACGATCATACCTAAAAATAAATAATTCGGTATACCTATTATAGTTCTAGGTATCCGTGACAAATAATTGAAGGTGTTGCTACGGTTAGTTCAACAAATACCTAATCTAGGTTATTAAAAACACTTTCATAAAGTAAGGGCATAATGATGTAATTAATTCATTTGTATAATTTACTTCAACATAGGCCACCACGTCTATTCATTTTTCTTCACTGACGATAAAGTTATTCGCATCTTCTTCTGGTTCGTTGCACATTTTGTATTTCGAAAGCAACCCCTCAATTGTTTGTCATGGATAAATAACTAGAATAATAGGACTTAGTGCATAAGTATACCGAATGCAGATACGTTTCCTAAGGAAATGGTCTCTTAGAAAAAGCCGACAAACCACCCTCTCTCTAATTGAAACAATCAAGTAAACTGAAAAATTAGTGTTTGTAACTTTTAGAACATCTCTAAAACGATTGTAAGGTCGTTTGTTTCAAAATCGTATTTTTGCCGTGTTGCTTGATCAAAAATAAAGCGATTTACGTCCATGGCTTTCTAGTTCGAAAAATAAAAATTGAAATAAAATGATGTTATTTGTCAAATATTGACAAGTGAGGCGTTTTTGAGTTCAGGATGTCTCTTTTTATCAAACTAAGTAAGAATATATGAGGTGTCCCATTTGAAAATCGAAAGTTGGAGTCGTTTCCGGTCAAACCGGAAGTACGTCAAAGTAAGCGAATATGTCAAAAATGTAAACTCTATGCAAACCCTAAATTTCGTTTTTCTACAATAAAAAAGTTCTAGGGGTGAGCCTCCTCGGAGAATCACCCAGTATGGGTGCTTTAAAAAATAAATTTTTGGGGCCCCTGTCACAATAAAAGGTTTTAACGGTACGAGTTTGAATTGATGTGTCGTTGAAGTTCAGTTGATTGTGCAGCAGTTTATGCAAGAAAATAATTAACGCACACTTCCTTCTCAGCTCTAAAGAATACACACTTTCAGATATACCCTTATCAGGATATGCACCGCCAAGCTGAATGAAAGATAAGAATTTGAGATTTTTTTTCTGAACATGGTTAAGAGAATTAGTGTAACAGTTGCAAATTAGGTTCCAAGTTAACGATGTATATTCCAGTTTCGATCTAATGTATGCAGATTACAAAGCGAACAGTGACTTTGGGCAGCTCAAGCTTTTGCAGTTTCTCACAATAAAACCGTACGCCTGTGAAGCATCACACACCTTTTGAGCTATCTGGAGTGAAAAAATTAGGTTTATCATAAAAAAAACTACACCGAAACTCATTTAAACATCCCCAATTGTATAATTAAATTTACAAACAGATGTTCTCCTGCAAGAACTGTCTACACTACACTTAGGCCCGTATGGTCAGTCGTCCCTACAATTGTAGGGCGCCTTTATGGCCTCCTTGATTGTCACAGTTTTTTACTTCTCCGTATCAGAACTCTATTTTGAGGTTATGTCACAAACATCTATTTGCATCAAGTTGTGCTTGCTTTCGAGTTATATCATGTTTTATCAGCCTGAAATTTCCTACAATTTAAAAAGAAAACATATCTTCACAATAGAAGAGCGCTGACGCTGACACGGGACATGTGTAATCTAGAAATTTTTGAAGGAGAGAAAGGAGTATGACAATCAAGGAGGCCATAAACGCGCCCTACAATTGTAGGGACGACTGACGATACGGGCCATAGACACATCAAGGTAATAAATTATTCTTGTCACACCAAGCTACTAAATCACCAATATCTCGCTAAAGTGCAATACAATCAGCATCAGAATCAATAATCCCAAATAATTTTAAATAATCCGCAAAGAGGGCTAATTACAACTTAAATATTTCGCAATATCATCAATAAATAAGGTAAACAATAGACCAAGGAATGACCAAGGTTCCTTCTTGAACTTGTCATAAAATGGTTGCTGTATCCAGTATACCACACCATGTTTGTATATTCCAGAGCCTCGAATGTTGTTTTCTGATAGGACCGCACTTTCCCTCTATTTTCACTTGTAGAACCAATTTAGGTACCGAATACCAGGATTCTCTTAATAAACGTCCCAAGTAGGCAGCTTTACGCTATTTTAGAGTTTCCATTAAAGAGGTGAGTTCTAGAGTTTGAAATTTTTTTTATCAGCCTATTCGTCGTATTACTTCTTCGTCGCATACCCACTTATTCACTTGAAGTACCTCTCGGTTAAGTCTCTGATACCAACTCTTTCAACATAAATATCAAATCAAACAGAGACAGTATACATACAGATGGACTCCTTTTAATATGCCAAACATGTCTGTTATAAGATCGTTGCTGATATAACCTTTGCAGACTGGTTCCAACATGGCACCAATAAGAAAAAAGAAAATAAGCCAAATTTAAAATAATGGTGAATGTGCAGCCCAGAAAAATCATCTATTTATCATTCACCCCGAAGTCCCTAGGAAACCCTCCAAATTATTTGAAATCTTGGAAAGTATATGTGTTAAATATAATATTCTAAAAAAAAAAATAAGTAACCGCCTATAAAATTCTGATATGAAAATCTTTTTCGGAAATTACAATTATGGCGAATGTGCGCTGATATCGTAGATAATAACTTCATAAAACGTACATCATTCCAGCCAAAAATTAAATTCTAAAGCTCAGATGATTGGTTGTGCTTCGTTTAGTGGATACATTTTACTACAAAACCGAAAACCAGGTCCAAAGAACCTATTTTTGAATTTTTCAGTGGATTGCGCTTACAACACTGTATATTGGAAAGTTTACCTATTGATCTTGCGCCCTTTTTGATTTTCAATTGTTTTTAATTCCTGTGAAATTTCATTACTGGGCTTAACTAATTACCCCACTGGTTTCTTTGTCAGTGCGGTCAAGGGACTTTCAGAAGGAAAAATATTTTCTACTGCTTGTGAACAAGTGGTTCAAGAGTTTGCAGTTAGAAAAATTTGCTCAATAATAAAACATCCAGAATTGAACGGAAATGTGGAAATACCCCTGAACTGCCAAAAACAAAAAAATCTCTAGTTTTTGTTTAAGCATATTTCGTACACAAAGATTCAAATATATTTCAAATGAATCAAAAATCGGCATCAAATCAAACAATTCTTCTGTGGACTGTGACCCAATTTGGTTAAATATCCAACCAAACTAATGGTTCATGAGTTTTTTATCCAGGCTTTAATCATGGTTTGTTGTTGGACGTCAAACGAGCAGAAGTTTTACTTTGCCATCTCAAGGCCAAAGTGATGTGTCTTATATTACTTTTTCACAGGACGACTCACAACATGGTTCCCTGTAACTGTCGAAGTACTATTTTTCGCGTTTCAGATGCAATGGTGTCTTCGTCACGATGGGCGAGGGTGTCGTATCTGGTACATTTAAAAAAATGGCAGAAAACCTCATGCTCGCTTGTCGTTTTGGAAAACTGAATGTCCTTCTTGGGAGTGGGATTGCTTATCCGCCAGAAGTTGGCACCCCTTTTTGCAGCATCCTTGATTATTTTCAGAGTTCTGTACTACTTTCGAATAGCTCTACAGTTATCATGTGTGTACGAGAATAATTCTGCAGTGTTTTTTCGGAATTTAAAACGCTAGTTGTGAGCTGTGCATTCTCAAGATAGTGCATAGTTCTACAGTTCTCAATAGTTAGAGAGGCAGCAGCGGTGGCCGCAGTAGTAGACTCTTCGGTCTCCTGATCAGTCGCCGTGGACTGTGCGGGTTCGAGTCCCGTCCTAGGAGAAATTTTTCTCTTGGCTATGGATGTTGTGATTGTCCGTAGGTGGTAGATGGTCTCTGACTGTCGAACGCGGAGGTACCACCCGGCGGTTCTCGTAGGCGGAGCCAGAATGTGTGCATGTTGCATGCACACGTGTTCCCTCGCCAGAGTCCGTGTGGCGTCCCCCCTTTTCCCATGTATCCCCCTATAGCCCCACGGTACCCAATGGGTGCTTAGGCCTTAGGCCTTCGTGGTAGTTGGAGCATATAAAAAAAATAGTTTTTAGCAAGAGTTCTGCAAAAATTCAAAAATTCAGAAAAACTCAGCATTAACCAATCACGAGCAATTCACCAGTATGTCACATTTATGGCCAGATAATTCGACAAGTGCACGGCACCCCACATATTCATGCAACCAATGATTTTCAATAATTTTCAAGCATTGAAATTGAGGAGGAGGAGAAAAAACTACACTGAACTAAGAAAACGTAAAAAATTCCACCAAAAAGCGCGGAGTTCTAGCACTGCCCCTCCCCTTTCGATACATTTAGCTCAGTTCTCAGTACAATTTCAAAAGCAGAACTCGAGGGTGCCATTAGAAAAAACTACCTACTTCCTACAAAAATGAAAACACACGGAGTCCTAGCACAGCACTTCCTTAAGATACCTCTAGTATAATACTTAGTAAAATTTCAAGAGCAGAACTCGGGGGTGCCATTAGAAAAAACTACCCTTGGTTAGGACAAATGTCAAGAAATACCTTGGAAACTCTAAAAATCCCCACAGAAGTGAAAACATGCGAAGTTCTAGTGCAGCACCACCTCAAATATCTTTAGCATAATATTCCTTACAATTTCAAAAGTCGAACTCAGGGATGTCATTAGAAAAAACTACCCTTGGTTGGGAAAATGGACGAGAAATACTTTAAAAACTCCAAAAATTCCCACAAACGTGAAAAAACACAGAGTTCTCGCACAGCACTCCTCTCAAATATCTCTAGCATAATATTCTGTACAATTTCAAAAGCCGAACTCGGGGAAGTCATTAAAAAAACTACCCTTGGTTGGGAAAAATGATGAGAAATACCTTGGAAACTCTAAAAATCCCTACAAAAGTAGTAGTTTTTTCTAATGACACAACTGAATCGGCCTTTGAAATTGTACAGGACATAATGCTAAAGATTACTGAGGAGGATGCTGCGCTGGAACTCTGCGTTTTTGCACTTTTGTGAGAATTTTTTAAGTTTTGAAGGTATTTCTCGTCATTCTTTTCAATTAAGAGTAGTTTTTTCTAAGGACATCCCCCAGTTCGGCACTTGAAATTGTACAGAATATTATGATTAAGATATATGCACTAGAACTTTTTTTCACTTTTATGGGAATTTTTGAAGTTTCCAAGGTATTTCTCGGCGTTTTTCCCAACCAGGGGTAGTCTTTTCTAATGAAATTCCCGAGTGCGGCTTCTGAAATTGTAGAGAATGTTATGCTAAAGATATATGAGGAGGATTCTGCACTAGAACTCTGCGTTTTTCACCTTTGGGGGTATTTTTTTGAAGGTGTTTCTCATCTTGTTTCCCAATCAAGGGTAACTTTTTCCAGCGACACCCCCCAGATCGGCTTTTAAAATTGTACAGAATAATATGCTAAAGGTATCTGAGGGGGTGCTGTGCTAGAACTCTACATTTTTTCACTTTTGTGGGAATTTTTAGAGTTTTGAAGGTATATCTCGACATTTTACCCAACCACAGGTAGTTTTTTATAATGACACCCCCGAGTTCTGCTTTTGATATTGGACTGAGTATTGTGCTAGATATATCTAAAGGGAGGGGAGCTGTGCTAGAACGCCGAGCTTTCTGGTTTTGTACAGTCTCAAGTGAGTTGGTGTTATTTGTTTACGTTTTCTTAATTAGGTGTAGTTTTTTCTTATAAAATCCCCAACTTTAGTGTTTGAAAATTATTGAAAATCATTGGTTGCATGAATGTGTGAGGCTTGTAGTGCTAGATGCTGATTTTTTTATGTTTAGAATGTTTGCAGAGCTCTTGCTAAAAACTATTGAGAACTGTAGAACTATTCACTACCTTGACAATCCACAGCTCAGAACTCACGTTTTACGTAAAAAGGGTGCGGCGTGAAGCTAGCACCTTCAAAATTTTTTCTTAAATATTCCACAAAAAAACTGCACCACCCTGAGAACTGTAGAGCTTTTACAAAGTTGTTCGGAAAATCTGAAAATAGTCAAGAGTGCTGCAACAAGGTTTGCCAACTTCCGGCAGGTGAAATGACGATCCTGGACTGTGCTGGAAGGATGGATCCGCGCAATCTCACCATGTTACGGGACCTTTAACGGTAGTGTAGTAACCTATTGTGCAGGAAGATGAAAATAAACAGAAAAAACAAACGAACTGTTACCTGGGAGACAGATAAATAAAATATATGGCCATTGTACTGAAGAGGTCACCGTTGTGACCGAAACGATTACAATAAAGAATACACCGATACACCTGATCTATATTGGCCAGAGAAATAGAGATAGGGAATGCTATCGCTCTATTCTTGTGCTTGGTTGAATTATATCAGCAATATACTATTTGAGAATTTGAGAATTTTTTTGGTAGATGTCGCATAAAAATCGGTAATTCGGTAGAACTGGAGTAAAATTGGTAGATCGATAGAACTGGTAACAATGATTGTTGGTTATCTGCGATTATATTTTCTTGTTGTTAACAGCACAACACACAGCAAAAAAATGTTCTTTTCATTTCACAGGATTGTCAGTCATGAGTCTGGTTTCCGTTTTGGAAGAAATTTTACGGATCATATTGAAAAGAGAAGCTTCGAAGCGAATGGCAACGGCTGCACAGGAGACCCAAATAAATTGCGGAGGGACTAACACTGGAGAAAACAAAAACTTGGAAAACGAATTTTTTGATTGCGCAAATATGGGTGATTATTATCGATTCTATGAGAAAAGATCGAGAAATTGCGTTAGCAACCATAACAAGTACTAAGAAAAGTTGTATTTGCCATCGAAGTGGTATAAATCATATTTCTTTCTGCTGAATAAAGATTACTACTCTTTTCACGTTTTTGATAATCATTCCCAGATAGACTGGAACACCACAAAGAACATGCTTATATTCATCAGAAAATTATGATAAACCCTAATTTGCTAGGTTAGCATATGTCATCGACCACCTTTCCTGTACGTTCAATCTAATCCACAGCTTTGCTGATGATAGCACGCTACATACAGGCAAACTGATCTCTGCCGGTAAGCTGGAAAACAGAAGACTAGCAGCGACTTCCTCCCTTACGAGAGACCTGGAGGTTATCACTACTTGCAAGCAACAATCATGTACAGTTTAATGCTTCCAAACACAGTCCTGTACCTTGACGAACAAAAAGCGTCCTAGCGCTCATCCGGTATCGACGAATAGTCGAATTCTGCCAAAGATCCTTTCATTTTGGTTAGCCGGTGTAAGAATAAGCGAGGACTTTATCTGAGACGATCACATCTCGTCAATAGCTGCAGCTGCTGGGAAAAAGCTTAGGCTATTTGTTTAGGGCTAAAAAGCACTTTTCTAAATATGACAATACAAGGCCCAGATAAGATCTAGCCTAGAGTATTACTCACACGTTTGGGGTGCTGCTTACGTTATTATATTATTATATTATTCATGCTCGATGCTGTCCAGAAGAGGGCTGTCCGACTGATCGATGACTCTTATCTAACAGACAGTCTCAATACGCTTTCGCACCGGCAGCCCGTCGGCGATCTAGCTCTCTTCTACAATTACACCATCGGGCTTTGCTCCTCATAGCTCACCTCCATAATGCCAGCGCGATGTGCCTGCCAGATAACCCCGCGTGGCTTCGGCCTCTCATCCTAATAGTGTTGATCTTCGTGTATCTAGAACTGGCCGATACGACCGCTCATTTGTGCCTAGGGTGTCGAGATTGTAGATCAATCTACAAGATGAGGCTTTTCCCAGTTCTACTAACCTTAGGCAATGGAAAACTCGGATAACAAAGTTTCTTAGGGATCATCATAGCACCCGCGGGGTCCTGGCTTCAGTGGCTTCAGGTCTCGTCGAATAAAAATAAAAATGTATTTGGTGAAATCAATTCAATTTAGGTTTAGCGTCCTGTAAGAGGCAAGAAGCAATAATGATGATTACCTTCGTAACATTTAATATCAAGCATCCCACGCTTTTTTACCATGATTAAATTTTTTGTTAGAGTCTTAATTTTTATATTGATCTATCTTCAAATTAATTAGTTATACTGGACTTTTTACCAGTTTATTGCAGAAACGCAAACTCTCTTAAACTTGAAAATCGTTTTCTACTTTTTAGCAAGAATTGCTATTAAGGCGTGTACAGTGGACCCCCGATAATCCGGCCCTGTCTAATCCGGCGCCCCCTGTAATCCGACATGTCTTTGAATATTACATACATACGTATTTGACAATCTTCGCTAATGTAGATCACGCAGGTTTGAACAGGTTACAACTTGTACGCGCCACCGCTATCGTGCTCGACGCGTAAGCATTGTTTTACTTAGTTTGAAATTGACTACTTGTGATAGCGGTACGGCCTAGCGTGCGTTCATTGTTTACTATTTATTCATTGAGTATTAAGTATAGTACCTATAATTACATCACAAACTCAGAAGCGAAATTAAAGAAAAGTGTGATATTTTAGACCGCTTAAATCGCAATCAAACTTTCAGTAATTTAGCAAGTGAATACGGCGTAGGCCGATCTACAATTTATGACATTAAAAGAAACCACGAGAAGATCAAGAAGTTCGTGTCAACTACTGACTGCGGGCCAGGCAAGAGACAGACACTCAAGAAAGCTGAACATCCAGAAGTGGAAGAAGCTTTGTACATGTGGTTTTTTCAGGAAAGAAATAGGCATGCCCAATTTCAGGACCCATGTTGTCTATGAAAGCTAAGTTTTTTTATAAGGAAATAACAAAAAAAGATGATTTTGTGGCCAGCCAAAGGATGGCTAGAACGGTTTAAAAGTCGTCATGGCATACGTTTAATGACTATTACAGGAGAGAAACTTTCTAACGATGCCACCTGCATAGAGCCCCTTAAATTAAGATTTTTGGAAAAGGTGAACGATTTAAATCTTCCGTCACAGGTGTAAAATGCAGACGAATCAGGGCTTTTTTGGCGTTTGATGCCTAACAAAACTTTCGTTTCTTGTAACGTGGACGAAAAGTAAGTGAAGAGCGTGTAACCATACTACCATGTGCTAACGCTGCGGGCACACACACGCTTAAGATGATGGTCATTGGGAAATCTAATAAACCACGGGCATTCAAAGAATTGATTTACCTGTACACTATTACGGACAAAAAAGTGCATAGATGACAAAAGACCTTTTCAAAAAGTGGTTTGATGAATGCTTCGAACCTGAAGTTAGAAAATGGTTAAAATATAATAATTTTCCTCAAAAAGCGTTGACCCTCCCGGTCATCCGTCTGAAGAAGAACTAACAACTGAGGATAAATGCATCACTGCGATGTTTCTTCCACCACATTGCACTGCACTGATTCAACCAATAGACCAGAATATCATTCAAATTGTCAAGCAAGACTATAAGAAAAACCTACTTCTGAGAGCCTTATCAAAAGACCAACCAATAAAGACTTGGTTTTTGCTCTTTGTCAGTCAATCATTAACTATTAAATCGTCTTGGAAAAAGTTATGCCCAGACATAGTCACCACTCCTAGCAGCGTTCCACAAATCAGTGTAACTTTGGAAGTTATAGAACAAGTCGCAACTGAAACACAGATAAGTCCGGAAGATTTGGAAATCTGGTGCCGTGGAGTGGATAAAGAGGAAAATGTTTTTTCATGAAATGCCTGACGAAGAGATTATAAAACAGGTTTCTAATTATACAACAAACAATCAGGAAAATAACGACGACGTGATTGCAAATGCTCCACAAGTCATAGCACAAGACGCAATTAACGCCTTTGAGCTAGGTTTACAATGGGCTGAAGAGAATGTAACATCATATAACGAACTTTTACTTTTGAGAAGACTGAGGGACAAAGCTCTGATCTCGCGTTATAACAACCTTAAACAAAAAAAAATTGATGAATATTTCCAAGCTTCATAATTTGATAAATTCATTAATGATTTTGATTAATAATTCTTGATTATTTTGGTACATATGTATGTGCATTTATGCTTAATTTTATAATAAAACGTAAGCTCTCTATTGTTATTTAATTTACTAAATTCGACATACATAAACTATGTATGATTTGTACTTCAAAGTACATACATATACATAACATATATAATCTTACCATTGGATATGTAATTTGTCGGATTACAAGGTACTGTTCTGTAAAAAATTCCGGACTATAGGGGGTCTTAGGCAGTGCTCTATAATCCGACAAATTCGATAGTCCGACACTGCCCTGCATAATGTTTGTCGTATTACCGGAGGTCCACTGTATTTTAAACTATAATTTATTGTTCACTAACTTTCTTTGTTATTTCGATTACCAAGAATAGAAAACAATTTGTTGTCTCCTAATACAGTTTCATTTTTACCAGATACAAACGCCACAAAACAGGTGCTATCAATACATTAGACACCTCCGTAATCTCAAAATAAATAAAAATTCGCGTTTATTTTTTCACGAAGCTCGCTTTCGTTTGATTTATTATTTGGCAATATTATATTTCTGCATAAAAAATATATAAAAGTGAACGCTGAACAATAGACAGCAACACAAATCCTTGATACTATTTACAGGAATTTCTTCGGCCTTGAGAGCTCGGCAAACGTTGCGTGGCGCTGCCAGGCTCAATACAGTTGCATGGCTGACGCCATATACGAGGTCTGTAAATTAAAAGATGAGACGTAATTTCTTTATTCAAATATAATAATAATTTTATATTGTCACTTCCTTCTGAAGCCATACACCGCTGGAGACGGTTCTTTCACTCCTCATAGCAGTGCTAGAACACCGATACTGGAATAACCTTCAGCAGATCGGTTACAGCCGTTTGAATGTTTTCGACTGTCCCAAAATGAGTTCTCTTGAGGTGATTTTTCAACTTCGAACAGAGAAAAGAGTCACAAGGGCTCTCAATAAAGAGGCCGATTGTCGTTTATTGACAATGCTGTGCGACAAAGAGAATTATCGTGGTGCAACACCCAGTTGTTCTTGATCTGATGAACGGTGGTGTGAGTCCCATTTAGCTCTTCTCCGATCATTCTGACTGTCAGCCGGCGATCTGAGAGCAGATTCCGTCCATACTTTCATCTGTTCTTGAAGATGAAGGCCTCCCATTTCGTGGTTCATTTTCAGTCGACTCTCCCATAGAAAAACCTGCGCCTGCTGAAGCTTAGCAAGAGTTTCCGTTGTACTGTGCCGAAGTCTGAAGCAAGACCTGATAGCACACCGTTGCTCAAAATTGATGTCACTCATTTTTAAAACACAATATAAAAAAGTCTAGCGAGTTCAAACTTGTACTCAAGGCATAGAACACAAAAGACTGAAACCTGTACTGAAGGCGGATCGCATGTTCCCTGTCTCCCCTCCAAACACGGTACCTCCAGTGTTGCCAGATCAAACGCTACGTTGTCAGTATCGTCACTTATGTAATTTATAGACCTCGTAGTTGCCTGCGAAGTATAACGCTTCTAAGTGATCTGTTGACATCGCGAACCCCGCATACCTTTGAACTTGCGTTGGTGTGTAATCGGATGAGAGAAAATACAGCTTCGTACGCCACTGAACAGATATGCAACTTGGCAGTAATTTTGTGTTCCAATAACCTGACAGTTATGCGAATCGAGACACAGTATAACTATAGCTTGAATTTTCAGTTCTGGCTGTGTGATATTTTTATTCTAATCTGACTCGAGGCGCAGGCTAAAAATATAGTGACTTCTATTATCAGCAGACAGTGGTGGTGACACTGGTGTTTGCTCCGAAAAATATTTTTCACTGTCTTATCATATGTAATTTCTGAGGCGGCGTATTTGCGCGTTGTGTAACCAAGAGACTAAAACCTTGATTTGGTGCAACTTTTTTGAAG